CTGGGGAGCTGCGAGACCATCTTCAACAACATATCGAACTCCTCACCACCATTACACATCTACCCGGCTGCGGAGCGCATTACCTTCCTTTACTACCTCGGGCGGTACCACTTCAGCAACACCAACTTCTACGGAGCTCAGCTTGTTCTGGAGCTAGCATACAGAGGTTGCCACGGGCAGTGTCCAAAGCAACGCCGCTTAATCGCAGTCTGCCTTGTCGCTGCCAACATACTCCTCGGTCGTTTCCCAAACGAACTCATCTACAACGACCCTGCATGCGTGGGCTTCCGGGAAGTGTTCGAACCGCTTTGTCGTGCGATTCGCAGGGGAGACCTTGAAACATTCCGTCGGATAACAAATCTGGACCTTTCCCATCCAAGTGCGGAGTTTATGATCAAGTACCGTATTTTCTACCCAATCGGCAACTATTGCGAGCCCCTCGTATGGTGGTCACTTCTCCGCAAGGTATTCATCCTTACTGGAAGCATAGGGGAAGCATCAAAATCGGCTGCTTTGCTCGACCTCAACGCAGCCGTCCTTGTATTCCGCTTCTTAGAGGCGCGCTCGCTCATCAAAAACGCCGCAATGGCCGCGCAAGACCGTGGCCCCGGCCGTCGCAACTTTGGTCACATCTATCAGGATCATGCATCAACAAGCAAATCGACATACATCGACCCGGACTTTATCGGCATGGAAGGAGTGCAGCCGTACACCCACGAGTATGATTTACTGGAGCTGGAGTGTATATGCGGCAGTCTCATCACCCAAGGTTATCTGAATGCGTATATTGCGCAGGCGAAGCAGAAACTGGCCATCCAAGGTGTGAAGACGGGTAACCTGAGCGCTGGATTCATCAACCCGTGGGAAGTCAACAAGGAGAGAAATAAGGACGAGGTGCTTGGATGGAAGAAAGAAGCTGGAGGCGATGGAGGACAGGTTGTCAGGCTGTCGTCCGCGGCACCGGCTGGGATGTAGAGGATGGTTGCGCACGATACCCTGATACTGAGATTGGATAGGAATATATGCCAGTAAGACTCCATACGTTGCTTGCGATGCTAATTAAACCCAAAAGATGACCCGCGAACTCCCTCAACGCCGACGCGCTTGTATCGTTTGCGTGGCACCCCATACCTCAAACCGGCACACCGTTGTTGTCCATCCGTCTTCCAACATCCGAGCCTCAGCACATGATAACGACCGTATTGTTCTGACCTCTTTTGCTGCGAGCCTTCCTTCCTCGTCGTGTTCTAGGATGACCTGCCGTGGCATCGTTGGTACCTGAGTTCAGTCAATACGGTAATGAAGAGACTAGGTTAGCAAAGACACTATTAGAGTCTTTTCTCCATAGCTTCGTACCTCGGCGTCTGGCCAGCCAAGCTCTAAACAGCAGACCAACGCAAGGGATGAGCACGACGAGCAGAACGCTGAATAACCCGAAGAGCGCTTCCTTGGTCCAGTAAGGGTCTGTGATGGACGCATGGGGAGTTGGCTGTGCGGGTGGAGTATCTAGCAGCAGATATTCGTGAGTGAGCCTTGAATCGACGTGAACCAATAGACATACCTCGTAGAACTTTAGTCGCTATGGGCGTTGCCCTCGACAAATATTGTACTGGCATGACTTGGAATGGATATAGGACAAGTAATCGCGATGGCTAACAAAACCGCGGAAATTAATGTATGAAGCTGTGATAATGGTGTTGAATCAGTTCAAATGATATCAGCTCGGGGGGAACGCTAAATAGAGCTGGGTTCCATAGATGAAGACGCTTCGCTACTTACGAAGGGAAGTCTCACCGAGGAACTTCCCACCGCTTATCACGTGATTACCTCACGGGTACACACCTAGTTTCTCCTTTCTCAGTAGTTGGAACCTTAGCTTTAACAATACAAATCTGAATACACGCATATGTCTCGCACCGCCTCCTTAGGGCTCGAGGCTCGACCTGTCAGAACGTTTTGTTCGGACTGGTTTGATTTCCCCATCGGCCATGCGGTCCAAGCTTCGCAACCGCTTAGCCAAGTACAACTCCGCTGTTGTACGTTTATAAGTCTTTTTTCTTTCTCCACGCCATCTACATATATACGAAGTCTCCTCACACAATGAACTTGTGATTCCAGTGTAACTTTTTTTGGTGTCTGCCCAGGTGCACTAGAGCTGCTACCGCGGAAAGCTGGTATCCAGAGCTGCGTTCGCGCCTTCGGCACACCTCAGCAAACTTGGAAGCACCTTCCCACCACCGCAACTCACAGCGATAACAACATTTGCTACGCTGCAGCGCAGACGTATCTCACCTGCGAAATCAGTGCTCATCGCCAACCGTATCCTTGAAGCCGCGGTCGAACGCCTTAGCCTGTGAGCAAGCACCGGCGTCTAGGCCATAACTCCCTTCTAATTGTCATCAATCCACCGTTCTCTCACATCCCTAACCCGTAGAAGAAAGCGCACCATGGAATACAACACAACAGAGGAGGAACGGGACTTGAATCACCTGCCGTTTCCCAAACCGATCCCCGTCGAGCACTTCAATGACCCCGCTGTCATCAATAGGAGCCCCGACGATGAGCTGCCAAGTTGCGGGGGACATGGCACTTTAGAGATTCTACAAGTGGCAAAGCTACTAGATGGAGCTGGCATTACCTGTTGTCTCGTTGGTATTTCCGCTCTGATCTACTACGGCGCCGGAAGGGTACGCAGGGTAAGCTCAAAGTGACGCCCCGTTCTCTAGATGGTCTCAATACTTGTATTGCTGACCTGAACTACTAGGACTGGGAGGTGTGCGTACCCACAGAACAGCTTGAAGAAGCGTCTGCACTTCTGGGCTCAGCCGCCACTTACGAAACCTATGCGCCGCGCCCACCCGCCCCGCGGTCGCTACTGCACACTTTCCCCCGGTTCAAGGTCGTAAACAAAGCACTGTGCTTCACATTGATCCCCTCGGAAGACGCGCACATCGAATGCGTATCCCCCAATATTGAGCGTAGCCACATGGGTCTCCCGTACCCGATACTAGAAGTATTCGCACAAAGTCTTCTCGACACCAACGACATGGTTGCACTCACAGACCTCATAGATGGCATGAATCTGACCGAACAATGGGGTTTAGAGCATTTGAACCTTGACGCCGAAAATGATTTAGCGTGGGTATGGCGAAAGAACGACAAGATCCGGGCTTCGGTTCCACTTGACTTCACCTCGTGTCTCCTGGAAATTCCAAACAAACCGATCAATCTGAAAGAGTCCTGGAATGACGTTGTCCAAACCAAGCAGCGTCGTATTGGCGCGGAATTGGCCGAAGGATATTGGGCCACGCGGTTTTGTGGTGTAGCATCCCCGGATCCAAGGTCTACGGAGAGAGACTACGTATAAGGCGCGGACGCAGGCGTAGTAAAAACGCAGAGATCTCTAGGATAGCTCGGAGCATTACAATCGTCTATGTCTCAACAAATTCCGTTTGATGATTGAGAAATAGCAAGTCTGGACGTGATTTGGAGTTTGTCAACATCAAATACCCGACCACCATTCCACGATCGCCGAAACTATTGTGATCTGGTTTACCGTCGTCTCATCGAACTCAAATGACCAAGAATTGAAGACAAAGTTTCGTCGTTTTTGGCTAAACTTCTGTTCAGCTACGACACTGGTGGACAAGGACGCGGTTCGCCGCGGCGCAGTTAAGCGCTGCTGTGCCATTCAGTTGCACTTAGCGCGCTATGATCATGAAACACACGCTCAAGGCACACACTCCTTTCACAACGAAACAGTTCGCGCCAGGATTCGCGATGGTCAAATTCGCGCGCGCTTTCAATTCTGAGGTCCTCTTATCTGTTGGTGACTTGAACTGCTCATAAAGAGGAACAAATGTTGTCTCACATTCTCAGACTGGCTACTGGCAACTCTTCGTCTTCCAGTCACATATACGTTACTGTGTATAATATCTACCTAGGTATATTACAATACTCGCTTTTCGTCTCATCTTCTCAGTCGAACTTTTTATCTTCGGGATGTCTCGTTCCCGGGCAACTCAACAACAACCGGGAACGTATAGTCCTGAACAACAGCATGCCTTGGTGGCTGCGGCAAATCGTGCTGTTACCTCTCAATTATTCGCTGCAGCAGACCTCATGTCTCGGGTATTCCAAGTCAACGCCGTCCCCTACGCCTTTATGGGCGGATTTGCGCTGAAGCTTCGAGGAAGCATTCGCGATACCCAAGACGTTGACGTGGCTGTCGGATGTACGATGCAACGAGCCATCGATGTGCTTTCCGTGCAAGCCAGGTGAGCAACTCAACATGCCATTAATCTGTCCAGCGACGAACTGAGGTCATAGAGTCCGTCGTCCTGCTGGCCCTACGTCCGGCGTGATGAGAATTTTCGTTCTGGTCGGCGGCCCCTTGGATCCTGGTGTTCCAGAACTCTGGGTTGCCGTAGATATAATCCTTGGAGGCAAGCGTCACTCTTTGTTTTTCTCGCGGCTGACTATGATGGACAAATCGATAACTTCTGCGACAGGCTCTCTCGGCGCCCCTACCGACATTCAAAGCAACTCGGAGATCGTGACCTACAACACAGACCTCGGATCAAAGCAGCTTCCTCTCATTGACATAGTGAGCGCAATGGCTAGCAAGCTGAATGCATATCATTTTAGACAAGAACGAAAAGACTACGAAGACATCTGGTTCCTTATAAGGACGTACTCTGAACAAGTTTTTGCAATCAGAGCACGACTAGACGCAACGCACTGCCAGTATTTTGTTGCATCTCTTGCGGAGAGGGAATCAGAGGAGGCTATTCGAAGTATTAAGTCTATTCTGAATGTAGCTTAGGGATCGAGGTCGGAGTACGAGAAGTAACGCACACTCGTTCGAATTCAGGCTTGCGGCACCGTAATCGCGCGATGAAGACTGGAAGAGTATGTTTGTCGGGCCAAAGAACCGAAGAAGATCAACTCTACAAGGTCCATTTCGTATGATCTATCTTACACCACCGCTTGTTGTCCGTCTATTGCCCGACGTTAGTGAAGCGCAGGTACTTCTTGACCTCTCTAACATCGCCAAACTTCTTCCTGGCATCCTCAGTGCTGACGCTGGGTGGCACGATGACGTCTTGGCCCTTCTGCCAGTCAATGGGTGTAGCGATGCCCTTCTTGTCTCCTGTCTGCAGGCTGTCGATAACTCTCAGTACCTCCGCAGTGTTCCTGCCCGTGCTTGCGGGGTATGACATTGTGAGGCGGATCTTCTTCGCTGGGTCGATGATGAAAACCGAACGGATCGTGAAGGCAATGCCGCCGTTCTTCTGGAGCGCATCGAGGTCGTCTTGCGAGATCATATCGTAGAGGAAAGCGACGTGGCGGTTGGCATCGGCGATGATGGGAAACTGCACGGTGGTGTTGGAGGTCTCGTTGATGTCGGCAATCCACTGGTCGTGGGAGCTCAAGTCGTTGGCGCTCTATAGCAAGGTCAGTAGGCCAATCTTGATCTGTCAATGAGCCGATAGACACGTACCAAGCCAATCATCTGGACGCCGCGCGCATCGAATTCATCCTTGAGCTTCGCAAAGGCCCCAAGCTCAGTCGTGCACACAGGTGTGAAGTCGGCAGGGTGGCTGAAGAGGATAGTCCACTTGTTGTCCAAGAACTTGTGGAAGTCCTACTTGAAGTCAGCATGCGTTGCGCAGCATTCATCGGAGAAGCTTACCATGTCGCCATGGGTGGTCTTCGCCTGGAAGTTAGGCGCTGCGCGTAGTCAGTACCGTTGATCTGAGATATACTCCAAACACTACATACCAATGGATCCCAGCCTCAGTCGTGGCTGCTCAGCTGGAAGCGCGATCCCGCGACGGAGTAGCGGGGCAGCAGGACGCTGTACCCGCAGGGCAGGACGCGCCGAAGCGCGAAGAGCTCGAGAAGCTGCACGAGGGAAGAATGAAGCCATTGTGAGGTTTTCAGAATACGATCAGGTATCTGAGATGTGTTCTGGAGCTTTGGAGGGTGGCTCGCGGCGGCAACGTCGATTAGTAAAACGGGGACTTTTCGACATGGCGTCATGTCGAATCAAAAAGCCCCGCCGGTCCGAAATCGGCCGTCTCTACCTCTTCGTGCAGTAATAATTCCAACACCGCTGAGGCATTCTGTCGGACATCCATCGCAAGCATCCGGAGTTGTACGTATTGATGTTGCGCGCGGACAGCAGCAACGACCCTGCCACGCGTGTGCCACGCGACGGTATCCAACATGACGTCAGCGTGCGTGCATTAGCACCAGCGAAGCCACCGACCATATCTCACACCTTTCCATCGACTTTCCCATCCTTGATGGTTATGTCCAACTCATCTTCTGAAACCAGCATGATTGGAACAGTGAAACCCTTCCACAAACGGGCGGGAACCCTGTCGCCTTCTCCCTCTTCCTTCTCCAGCTCACCACACCACCATGTGCAACCCTTTGGACGCATCCGAACTATATATCGGCCATCCTCAAGGCTTCGGAGCGTGCGTCCAATATCGAATAAACTGACTAATGGGATTCCAGGTTTCAAAGTGACCAACTCATCCATCTTGGCTCTCAGGTCGGTTTTCGCATGCCGCAATTGGCAGATGCTGGTCTGTTGCCTGTGCATCATTTTACCAGTCGCGGCATTGACGATGAGAAAACTTGATGTGGGCAGACGATTCAGCTCTGACTGATCAATGACCCTGCGGCGACCGTCGAGGGTATTCGTTTCGGTAGCTGAAGGACCCCATGGGACGAGGAACTTCTGCTGGCCCCGTGACTGTACGGTCACAGTCTCGGAGCCACTATTAACGACAGTGATTTCCAACGATATATCATTGACGAGACACATGCTCGTCACTAGTCGCGGTGGAAACTTTAGGTCATCGACGACCTTGAAAGCTGCATTACCGTGGCGCCAGCTGTTGACTAGTCTCACTTCCTCGCCATCTCCGTCGCTGTCGGCAAAATCCTCTTGGTTACTGTATGTCCATTTCTTGACTCCAAGGTCGCGACTTGCGAGTCTTATTTTGTATCTCTTTCCCGGCTTCAAAACTGACGCTAACACGCCCTGGAGATCAATAGCGCATAGATATACCGTGATATCATGTCTCCAGCTCTTTGTTCGATGAACCCGGGACGGAACTGAAATGCAACCTCGATTGTTCGCATCAACCTCTCCAAGCGAGCTTACATCCACTTCAACCCATTGCCTAGCTTCCCCGGGGCGTTCTTCATGCAGGGTTAACAGGCCATGCGCTATGGCGTAAGGCACATCGAAGACTGAACCGACTGTGTCAATAAGTATTGATCGAGGGTCTGTATCAGACTTTTCTAACCGACAAAGACCAAACACTACACTGAATGGTAGCTTCCCTGATGTGTCGAAGACGTTGTAGCGGCTGTGGAGCTGAACGTGAATCGGGAATTTGGTCATTGCGGTTCGTACGTGAGAAGAACAGAAGAACCTGTGGATACACCGGGAAATAAGAGTGAAGGGCTTTCTTGAAGATGAATCACCTTGCAGGTTTCATTCGCGTTCCTATAGGTCTTGAGCATAAGCACGAGATAAACACTCGTTGTTGCCTGCCGTCGCAGACATGCCACGCGAGTGCCCCACTCCGAATCTCGAACATGACGTCATCCCGCGTTGACAAAGCCCGAGCTCCTCATGAAACTTGGTCGCATGTGGCTGGGGATGAGGGCCACGCGCATCGAGAGAAACAAGAAATGAAAAGCCGTTGAAGACCCGTCCCGCATATTGAAGACCATTGTGTTCGCCCTCAATCCGTCTTCGGCAGCGCCTGCCTAGCTACACTCGCTTCCACATCGCTCAACATGTCCATAACGTCCTTCGACAACAAGCCCGGAACAGGCGGCTTCCTGAAATTCAACTCCGGTCCGCCGCGCATATATCTCACATGCGCTCTGCCAGCACCGGAGAAAGCACTGCTATCCTGGCGCGAAGAGGGCTACGACGCGCAATACCTGCCCTACGACCCCAACACGCAAAATCAAACAGCCTACATCCGGTCCCTCAAAGAACTATCCATAAATTTGAACCTGGGCGAGAACTACGCGATTATAGCCTATGGCGACGCAGCGAGCGTTGTCTTGAAAACAGCACAGAAGCCGTTGGCGAAATGCTGCGCTATCATAGCGTTTTACCCAAGTGTGTTGCCGAGCCCTAAGACCATGTACCCGAACTCGCATCAGCTGCAGGTCCATATAGCGGGACTCAGCCAGTCTAGCCCAAGACCAGATATGTGCGAGTGGAAGCTGTATCGGTACGAGAAGTGTGCCACGGGATTTGCGGATCCATCTTCGCGAGCGTATTCGGAGGTAGAAGCGAACCTGGCATGGACAAGAGCGCTAGCATGTATACGGAAAGGATTTGGGAAGAACGTGGATCTTGAACCTATTGCGCTGAGCCACTGGAATGCGAGGTTTGAGGACGACGATCCAGATCGCGCGAGTATGAGTGTGGTGAAGAACATGACGCAGGATAGCCCGCATGTTACGATCTTGCCGACTATGCAGGGAGGTGTGGGAAGGAAGAAGCTTGCGGAGTTTTACGGAGAGTTCTTTGTGCCTAGCCTGGTGGAAGACTTCTCTATACGGTTGGTCTCGAGGACTATGGGTGTCAATCGTATAGTGGACGAGATGGTCGTGTCTTTTACGCATTCGGACGAGGTCGACTGGGTGCTGCCAGGTGTGCCGCCGACGAACAAGCGAGTGGAGATACCCATGGTCAGTATCGTGGCGGTAAGAGGAGACAAGCTGGTTTCAGAGCATATGTATTGGGATCAAGCATCTGTTCTTGTGCAGGTCGGCTTGCTGGATCCTAGGATGGTTCCGAAGAAGTTGAAGAATGATGGATTGAAGGCGATGCCTGTCGTAGGGGCGGAGGCAGCAAAGCAGTTGGTTGAACCGCAACAGAACCGATACAATAAGCTGTTGCAGATGCACGGTCTCATGGATGGGTTGAACGGTAACTGAAGAATGTCGCATCTTTCCAGCGCGGTGTTTTGGAGTAATGCTTGGAAGAATCGCTTCACCGAGCCTAGGGGCTTTGCTGTAGCTGTTTGCTCAAATCTCCAATACTATCCATTATCGAAGTTCACCTTCAAGTCAATTCTGGGATTGTCTATTCTCAACCGACGAAACTGCATGTCGGCAGCTTGTACTCGTTGAGTACCCAGTACTTCCGCCTCACACCCTCCCATTCACCTTTCTCATCCAGATTCGGTACAGGGACCGTTTCCCATTCTGTGTCGAAACCAGCCTCGAAGAGATCGAATTCAACGATCTTGTTGTAAACATCGTAAACAATCTGGCGATCTGCTCCCATGCCGTTGAAGAAGCCAAATTTGCCTCCCTCGCCATCGGAACCACCAGCAGGATCGAGGAGCCCGATGACATGTTCGGTGAAGAACTCGCGTAGTGCTTTGTATTCTTCGGCGAAGGTGTCAAAGTAGATTGCGTCGAACAGCTCGCCCTTTTCGACAAGACCTGGTACAATGTCCTGCCAGCGTCCCTCGTGGATGACGACTCCCGGCTTCTCATGCCATCCCTGCTCTTTCATGCGCTTGATGACATCTGGATGCGCCTCAATGATGTGGTGAGCTTTTGGCTTTTTCTCCTGCAAGATACCATCGATGATGCCCATGCCATGACCAACGTTCAGAACGCGAAGCCCTTCTGTCGGCACCAATAATTCGGCCGATCTGCGCATGAGTGTTGTCTCCCACTCCATCATGACTCCGTTTGAGGAATCGTCCAGTAATCGGTCGCGGTCGAATGTGAGCTTGGAAGAGAGATAATTTGGGTTCTCGGTTGATTCATCGCCTTGCGCTTCTTCCTGACTGATGTCCACTACCTCGACGCCTTCAGCCACCTCTTCAACCTCATCTTCCTCCTCGTCTTCTTCATCTTCCTCCTCGTCTTCTTCATCTTCCTCCTCGTCTTCTTCATCTTCCTCCTCGTCTTCTTCATCTGAATCATCGTCTCCAAGAAGCTGGTATTGCTCCATGCGACTCAGCAGCATTTCTGCGCGCACGCCTGCGTCGACACAGAGCTCGTATAGTTCCTTTAGGCCCAATCGATGCGCGATGCATCCCGGTGTCTCGCCATTTGAATCCAAGTCGTTCCATATCGCACCGTTCTCGAACAGGAATTTGATGGTCTTTACAGCGCTGTCCATTTCGTTCTTCGTATCCTCGGCCCCATCCGCTGCTTCCCCATTTGTGTCTCCGTTGACTCGTTTTGCGTCATCTTCGTCGGGCTCACAGGCAGCGATTGCGGCGTGCAGAGGCGTAAAACCAGTCTCGGAATCTTGAACGTTTGCGGAAGAGTTGCGCAGAAGGTTGCGGAGGGAGGCGGTGTCGTGGTTTGCAGCGGCGAGCAATATGCTCTGCGTCTGGAGATCAGTCTGAGTATCGAATTCCGGGTCGTCCATGATTATTTCAGTAGTGTTGGTGTTGCGTTCGCAAAGTATTCGGAGGGGCAGTTGAGGGGGCCTAGAAATTTATTGAGGCGCGAGTCATGCAGGGTCCAGCTCGTGGATGTCGCGGTGTCAGTGTAATCCTCTCAAGGTCACAGCAAGACTGAACTACACGAGCACACCAACATAATCTTGCAGCATAGACTCAAACTCAGATACCCCATTTTCAGTTAATTGAGTCACTCACTCCGAGCGAACAGCGCTACTCAATCCTTTACAACTCATCGATAACACTTGAATCCAACATTTTCTCCAACTCCTCCCTCGGAGTGATCGTCCGGTTGTCCTGCTTCGCTAGATACCCATCCTCTTCCACCAAAAAGTCTATCATCCCATCATCCCACCGTCCACTCCAATTATGGTGCTTCCAAACAGCCTCCACAACCTCCACATCTGCATCAACAGTCTTAGCCACATATTCAAACACGTTCTTCTCATTCGGCGAATTCGTGAATACGTCCCGTGTCTTGTCAAGCGCCCTCACAAACTCTACAATGTCCTTGCGCCTCGAGGAATTTTCGAGAGCCTCCGTAGTAGAGAACAGCGCGTAGACTTCTCGGTAGATTGATGCATTTTGGAAGATGATCGCGTCATCCCCCAAAGCCCTAGCGCCAAGCTCAACAGAAGTTTCCCAAATACCGAACGCATCCAGGCTTCCGTTGTTGAGAAGGTACGGGATAGTATCGTTTGCACACGGCGTCTTCATGCACCACCACGCATTAACCCCTTCGTACTCATGATCCTGCACACCAACACTACTCATCATATTGTGTACGAACACTTCCGCACTCGAGCCCAGAAAACTGCCAATCCTCTTGCCCTTCAGATCTTCAAGTTTGTTGATACCCTTCCTTCTATCGGCGACGAGGCGGTACGAAACCTCGCAGATGACGTATATGAGGCGGATGTTACGGTGTTCGACATATTGTCTGATACTTGGTGTTTCGGCGTTGGCGCTGAGGTCGACGCTTTGGTTGGAAAGGATGTCGGGGACACCGCCTGATATGAGAATTGCAGGCGTACTGCCGTTGTAGAAGTTCTCGATGGCGTAGGGCTGAGGCGTCCGCTCTATCCAAAGGGGGTAGGATGCGATTGTAAGCCCGGCAACATGGTGAAGCTGGATGATAACAACGGCGATTAAAAGGAACGACAACATCATGCTTCGTGTGAGCGATGAGCTATCTGATTGTGACAATGAAAGGCAATCTTCGAAACTCGAGCTTATATGTGTCTACTTGCGTCCCGGTTGCTGCAAGAACTCTGTTACGCCGGGTCAATACGAAGTCTTGGAATTCTGCATGCAATTACAGCATCCCGATCGATGACGTCGAAGCAGGGATCAGTGCATTGGAGTGGTTACCCATATAGGATTATTGCAGGGTACATCGCCCCATCTTGGCATTCTACACATAGGCTGTCAAATTGGGGCGTAAAAGAGACGCACGATACTCAAAGCGACGCGGAACAGTTTTGAAGATCTGCTGCATACCACGGTTAGACTGTCGGTAATAAGCCTGCTACTAGAACGCGTTCTAGCAGATGCAGCAAGAACGTACAATGAGACAGAGAACACGTCAGAGGAAACAAAAAAGACATAAAAGCATTCCATGTCTAATTGGGTCGCTGATGAGATAGAATTCAGATTTGGCTCTCGCCATGCCTACCTACCGTAACGCCGTGGTACCAACATTGTCGGATCGGGTGCGCATTGTACGCATCTGTAGAAAACTGCCAAGGTACGTATATTTGTTGTACAGCAGCCTTAATGAGACTGTATCCAGCCCAGCATTTGACCGAAAGCTTGCGCTTGTGACTGCTTGATCTTGGCATCCTCATAATCTCCGTATACAGCAAAACCGTGAGGTACGCCCTCGAAGACCTGAATCTCGTGCTCGACTTTGTTCGTCTCCATGGCTCTGCGACCAGGTGTCAATGCGTCTTCTTCCGAGAACATAGGGTCGTCTTTGACCGCGGCAATGTAGACGGGTGACTTGACAGCTTCGAGGTCCTCTTTGTATGTCATGGTTGGGTGCGCAACAGCGCCGGCCCTGAGAACAGGTTCTTTCTTGACCGTGCCTTGCTCTACATCTTTCTGTGTTTCTTGACCCCAGGCAACCGTGTCAGGCAGCTCGGATGCCAACATGAGGATGTACTTGGCGCCGAAACAGTAGCCGATGCCATAGATTCCTCCACCGTTGGCAACAGCATCGGCGTACTCTTCCTTTGCACTTTCCACAACCTTGTGAAGTAGCGGAAGGACCTTCTCGGGAGTATGCCGAGCGAGCCACATGTCAATCATGAATGACTTGATGCCCTCTGCGGTCCTCAGCTTGACCGATTCTAGCCATGATGCTTCCTTGGGTATTTCTGTCATATCAACAGTGTTCGGCGCTGGGTCGTTGTCGAACTGATCGGGCATGACGACGAGGTAGCCTTCCGAAGCGTACTTGTCAGCCTGCAGCTGGTTGTTTGTAGACTTGACGCCAGTGCCGCCTGTCAGCATAAGCAGGAGCTTCGAGGGCGAGTGTGGGTAGTCGGCCGGTTTCGCGATGTAGCATTCGACGCCGCCTAGCTTTGTGAGGTCGCCGGTAGGTTTCTCGCCGGAAGGTGTTGGACGATCTGTGGTGCAGTGTTCCTGGATAATCAGTATATGGAAGTCAGAGCTGGGGGCATAGATGCAGGTATCCACAACACACTCAAGCTGTCTTGAGCAACAGAAAATTGGGCATAAATATGCAGCTTCTCGTGACAATGACTTGACTTACACCCATGCTTGGCCCTTCTTGCGCTCTGGTGTCTCCGGGGAAGACGCTCTCCGCTGCTGCCTCTTGGGGTTGCTCTTGGGGCTTCTCCTGCGCATCACTCTCGGGTGCGCGTGTAGCGATGTCGTTGTCCGCCATGATGTTTGTAGATTGTGTAGTGTTGATATACGCGAAAGCTGGTATGAGTGAGCTGCAGCTGGCTGTGAAGGGTCCAAGCCAATTACGTAGCCCCGCACAGCCCCAGAGCCACTTGAACGCGTGGATGCGGTTAGAGCGGGGCCACTGAGTCACGTGTCGAGACGCGTCGACGCGCTTTCTCATCTTCGACGTGTGCCCGCCACCGACACACGCCATCTCAACACCACGCAAACACACACATCACAGTCACCATGGCAGAGGGAGCAATTACGCAAGGCGCTATTCAGTGAGTATTGGCATGATGAAGAATTCTATGTCGCACTCTGACACCGCCTAGGAGCATCTTCCAGCCCAGCGGCTGCTTCGTAGAAAATCCGGTCCTGCAATGCGTGCAGATCAAGACGATGGAGCCCAAGGCGGGCGAGGCGAACCCAGTGCAGCGCTTCCGCGTTGTCCTGAGCGACATTCGCAACTTCATACAGACAATGATCGCGACGAGTAAGTCAAGCGAAGGCACCATACGGACGTAGCTAATCGTGTGCAGCCGCCAACGACATTGTCACTTCTGGTCAGCTTAAGAAGGGCTCAATAGTTCGCCTCCTCAAGTACAACCCTCAACGCGTCAAGGACAAGAAGTACGTATTTCTACACCTTAGAACAGTTCTGCGCTGACAGCTACTAGCATCCTGATCATCATGGAACTGGAGGTCCTGTCGCAATACGGCGAACTCGACAAGATCGGACAGCCCGAAGCTCTGGACACCAAGGCCGCTGAGGCACAACCCGCAGCCATCTCTGGCAACAACTTCTACGGATCGAAGCCCGCGCCTGCCCCTGCCCCTCAGCAACAACAGCGATCCCTCCCTACTCACCAGAGCAATCCCGGTACTTCCTCGCATCCCAACCTCTACCCTATCGAGTCTCTTTCGCCATATGCACACAAGTGGACTATCCGCGCACGATGCACAGCCAAGAGCGATATGAAAGAATGGCACAACCAGAAGGGAACGGGCAAGCTGTTCAGCGTAAATCTGCTCGATGACACTGGCGAGATCCGAGCCACGGCTTTTACCGAAATCGCTGATAAGCTTTACCCCGTCTTTGAGGTGGGCACTGTATACTACATTTCAGCACCCTGCCGAGTCACGCTTGCTAAGAAGCAATTCTCCAACCTGCCCAACGACTACGAACTGCAATTCGAACGCGATACCGAAGTTGAGAAGGCGGAGGACCAGGAGAACAAACCACAGATACGATTCAATTTCACCAAGATTGGTGACTTGAATACCATCGAGAAGGACGCAACGGTCGATACTATCGGTGTTTTGAAGGAGGTCGCAGAGGTTACTACGATAACATCGAAGAACACCAACAAGGACTACAGCAAGCGAGAGTTGACACTAGCCGATGACAGCCAGACGTCTGTCAGACTTACCATCTGGGGCAAAGCTGCCGAGAGCTTCGAAGCGCCGCTGGAATCAATCATTGCATTCAAGGGAGCCAAGGTCTCCGACTTTGGCGGACGAAGCCTGAGTTTGCTGAGCTCTGGAACTATGATGGTAGATCCAGACATTGATGAGGCTCACAAGCTGCAAGGATGGTTCAACGCTGCTGGACAGACTGCGACATTTTCTACACACCAGAACTTGACCTCGGCTTCAGGCGGTTCCAAGAACGAAGTCAAGCCCATCTCGGCAGTCATCGAGGAGGAAGCATACCTCCAAGACACGCCCACATGGCTAAGCCTCCGAGCATCTGTCTTGTATGTCAAGAATACTACCATTGCATACCCCGCGTGCTCGACGCAAGGTTGCAACAAGAAGGTCATTGAGGAGAACCCCGGTGCCTGGTGGTGCGAGAAGTGCCAGGCTACCTTCCCTGAACCTCAATACCGCTATGTGCTTAGCGTCAACGTTGGCGACCACACCGGCACGTTGTGGCTCAGCTGTTTCGACGAAGCTGGACAGGACATTGTCGGCATGTCGGCAAACGATGCCATGAAGATCAAGATGGATGACGATGAGAACAACACACAAAACTTCATGAATGTCATGCAAGAGGCTACATGCAAGACGTTCAACTTCAGGGTGCGGGCGAAGATGGAGACATACCAGGACCAGCCAAAGTAAGTATACTGCATGTCGTGGTTTGATATCTGCTAACATTGTCCAGGCCGCGATACCAGGTCCAAAACTTGAACAAGCTCAACTACGCCGCGGAGGCCAACAAGCTAGCTCAGCTCATCAAGCAGTACAATATCGACGACGACACCTTGTTCGTCAACTAGAATCGTGCTTGTCTCTTTCGAGCGACTGCATCACGTTCGGTAGTATTTAGTAATGTACATGAGAGCTTCGAATGATGGATGTTAGATAGATGCACACGACGTTCCGCGCGGACAAACCCCCGAATGAAGCAAGTTGTACCATACCATTACGAGTCTATTGCCGCGGCCTATGTTGTCCGACCCCACCATAGCTCAAGCTCAATGACTAGCTGCCCCTCAAACGTCATTACCAATCATTTCCGTAGCTACCGGAATGGCCTCGGAACAGACTACCACTTTCCTTATGAATTTCTGACACTCTGACATTCTGACATCCTGACATTCTGACAATCTCTTTGACAACCCCTCACTAATCGTAAAGCGCCACCTTTCTATATTTCAATCTACTCGTATTCATTTTCAGCGGCCAACAAACCTCATCGACTATTACAATGAGCGACACGATGCGCGCAGTAGGTATGTACCGACATTATTGTACTTTGAAACGCTCAAATTGCTAATTTTGCAAAGATATCAAAGATGGCAAAGGCCCAGTCGAGAACCTCCACATCGGCGACATTCCCAAGCCGAAGCTCGGAAAGTCGCAAGCGCTCGTCAAGATCAAGGCTTTTGGTCTGAATCGCATGGACCTATTGCAACGCGAAGGAATGTATCCAGTACCCCCTGGTGCTTCAAAGATCCTTGGCGTAGAGTTCTCGGGTACAATCGCAGAGTTGAGCGCAGAGGGTGGAGGTAAGGAGGGCTTCAAGGTGGGCGACGAAGTCTTTGGCCTAGCATATGGAGGAGCGTATGCCGAGTACATTGCGGTGTCAACACATATGCTGGTGCGGAAACCAAAGGAGTTGACTTGGGAGCAATGCGCGGGTATTCCTGAGGTAAGTCAATGCCTTCTCGTAGCGTTCAGCGCACCGTAACTTATCGCTTTGCTAACAAAGTCCTCGTAGACCTGGATCACAGCAACCCAAGCCATGTACCTCGTCGGTCAATTTGCTGCCGGCAAAACCATCCTCTGGCACGCAGCCGCCTCATCAGTCTCGATCGCCGGTATCCAACTCTCCCTCGCCGACAACGCTTCCGCCGTCTACGCAACCGCCCGTCAAGACGCCAAATGCGACTTCGCCGTAAAAGAGCTTGGTGCAACCGCTGCATTCAACACAACATCTCAGAACTGGGCGGAAGAAGTCATGAAGGCTACAGACAACAAGGGCGTAGACATCATCGTCGACTTCATCGGTGCATCATACTTCCAAGCAAACCTTGATGCTATCGCCAAAGATGGTGTTATCGTCAATCTGGGCTTCATGGGTGGAACCAAGGTGCCAGAGGGTACTGATATCAGCGCATTCATCAGGAAGAGGTGTACCTTTGTGGGAAGCAGTCTGCGATCAAGGGATGAGGAGTATCAGGGCAAGCTTAGGGATCAGCTTGTAGAGCATGCGTTGCCTAAGATGAAGGATGGGAGCTTCAAGCTGTTTGTGGAGAAGGTGCTGCCGTGGGAGAAGGTGCAGGATGCGCATAGACTGTTGGAGGAGAATAAGACAAAGGGCAAGGTCATCTGTACTATCGATTAGGAGGTAGTCTAATGTAGAAGGGTATCGTAGGGAATAAGATCAGCCAACAGCCTCAAGTCTAATCACAACATTCAACAAGATACCGGAGAACTTGAACCATGTTTCCAGTACACAGACTATTGCGCCACATGCTACAGCACCATCGCGTTTGTTTGATGTTCCTCAGAAGACAAGATTACTGCAGGCTTCGCATTGATGTTCTAATGTTCAAGCCCAACTCCCCCACCCAAAAAGTCAACCTCAACACCTCACTATCAACACCACGACACCGAGGACACTGCTAGAGCAAAAAGACGACGTTGGCCAGATTCGAACTGACGCTCCCGAAGGAACAAGATTTCTAGTCTTGCGCGATAACCACTCCGCCACAACGCCCCTGTTGCGACACCTGTGTGATTCGAACACACGCTCCCGAAGGAACTGGCTAACTTCCCTCGATACTGAGGACTAGCAGGCCAGCGCGTTAACCACTCCGCCAAAGTGCCAGACAATTGATTGCTGATTGATGAAGAAGTCTGGATTTGGTGTATCAATATTCCCAAGAACCAAATGCCGACGTTAGGGGTCGAGAACTGAAATTCTGGGCGGATCAAGTAAAGGAGAGCTAGAAATGTTGAGTTGTTGCGACAGGAAGGTGGGACGTGTTCGTGGGGCTGGAGGTTTGACGGGTAATCGGGCGGTAAGTGCGGGGACGTTGAGCTGAATTTGTACTTAGCAACTTCCAACATCTTACCATCACCCCATCACTATTCGACAATGGGCTTTCGAGGAATGCAGTGCTCCAATAAGTCCCGAAATCCGAATGCTGGTTCATTGAGTATGTTGCTTTCCATACCTAGGTACATGTTCTAAGGTGATGGTCGTTAGCCTAAGCTGCCGGCAAGCAGCAAAACAAAAGGGGGAAGATCATGTATAAAGTGGATGGACGACCTTGGTAGTATAGCCACGTACCTATGTATTTGAGCCTCGCGGAAGAACTGACTACTGACCGGTCAATCCACTGGCTACTCAACCATGACTAACTGACTGACAACCTGGGAGAGCCGACATCAACAATCCTGTCCACGGACGGCTTCGCTGCGTCTCTTGTCATCCCACCTCATGCCTTCGCCTCCGCTTCGAAAGCCCTCACTCGCTCGGCGAAATCGTCTCGTCTCTTGTCAATTTGACGAATTGCTTGTTCGAGAGTCTGCAAGAGAGACTTGGCGCAAGGGCCACTTGACTTCTGGACCTTGTCGTACATGATTTTCATCTCTTTCGCTTCCTCCACCAATGTGGCTATGTGTCTGCCCAAAATCTTCAACGCAATCCCGAAGCCCAGCTCCCGGGTATCTGGATCTCTCAAACAGCCGATCGCTGATAGCATTCGTTTGGCATCTGCTGGCGCACAACCCACTATTTGGCTTCTTACCCATTCCAAGAACTCGAATGTGTCCACAGGAGGAACCTCTTGTGGGCTCGCGCTCGATTTTGAAGTCTTTTCGCGAGGGACTTTGGGTGTGTACGTTGGTGGGTTGGTAAGTCGATAACGGTGGTTAGGAGGAACCTCTGGCTGTGTGGCCATCGGTGGACCTCTCAGATCTGCAACTCTTCCCCCGAGAAACGTTGGTGATGGGGCCCTTTTCGATGCTCGAGCTGCATCGTCACCGGTGTGTTTACGCTTCAAGTTCTTCGCGTTTGTGGACTGCGAAGGATGCATATCTTCCGAATTGGCGTTTTCGCAGTGAGTAGAGCTGGGGTGGATACTGTCCGTGGACGGGGGCTTTGGAATCGCGATTTGGATGTGTCCTGAGAAGTGCCCGTTGGTGAGCTCCAGCGCGTGTAATGTGACCCTGGCATTCGGCTGCACTACCCCGGGGGTCTCACGCCACGCCATCGCGGTACCAGAAGTGGGATCAGCGCTGTTTTGTTCGGTATCCATCTCTTTCCAAAGTGCAAGTCGCGTAGGATGGGGCGAGGAGGTGTGAGGGCGGGCAGTAAGAACTGGACAGAAAGAGCTTGAATGGTCGCAGTAGCGTCAAATCCGCCTTCACCCTTTCTCGTCTCTCACCTTCATTTACGAAACAGGCAGTCACCTCGGCCTTGGCGCTTTCAACAGGGCCAAGCGGAGCCCTCGACTGACCGAATGCTCATCTCAACGAAACAGAACTCCCGCAACACACACGAGATATACGATGGCTGAATCCGCCCATTAAATAATGGAAGGGATGAGAAAGAGGCCAACGAAACTGAACATACGCACAATATGACCGTTGGCCCAAGGCCGAATTGCGAACAATTGACGAGATAGGTAAAGTCATCGTTCAGCTGACATTGGGAAGCCTACCGGGAGGCCAAATTCCAACTACATGCGACGATTCAATACATCAGCTGCCTTCCAAAGAATACGATGCCATGGTTCTATCAAGATGTGCACTACAAGTCCGGCCCTGGATCTATCTCTGGAGCTAGCAACACAATGAAGGTTTGCCCTCTCAGCACTGGGATAGTGAGTCTGCCCAGGTGGGCAGTTCAATGTCTTTCCACGTGGGCAGTGGAGCGCAGTTCACGTGCGTGACGCGCCGTCTCGCCAAGACCATGACGCGTCGCGAGACAACCTTGGAAGTTTCTTCCTCCCACCAACCTTCACTCCCGAGGTCGCACTACAATGCCTTGCACGGTATAAGATGGTGCGTAAGAAGCCAGCTCAGATCGCTCCGGCCCGCAAGACGCACGGCATCCGGTCTTTCTTTTCGCGATCACAGACTTTGCCGCCCTCAGCCAACCCACCTCTAGGTGCTCTTACTGACCTGGTGACTCACCCAACCGGAGCAACGCCTATGCCAATCACTGGAGCAGCGCGCACCTAACCTCTCGCTACTCTGACTGAAACAGAAGCAACACCTGGCACAATCACTAGAGGAGCGCCCACCTCACCGGGTCCGTCTCTGTTCCAAAGCCAGCTACTCCGAATAGTCTGGCGCCTCACTCGATTACCTCACCTGCATCACGTGCCGATGCCGTGGTGACCAATTGAGAAGACAACATCCATACGAGCGTTTTCCCGATGTCGCAAAATGTCAATTGATCTGGCTTCTCTGACGCAACTCTACTCGGCTACATGCGAGAGGCGTACAAGCTAACCCGAGCAACCGACAAAAGCCAGAAGGATTTGACACCCTCAGTACGAGGCGGCGACATAGACTTTAGCATGACTCATGTCAACAAACATACTAGAGGGTGGTGCATACGTAGCAAACCCCAGAAAGTGGACAGATGGTGTCTGTCTATTGTATCTCCCGCGATATAGGCCTCTTTACTGCAGTAGATATTGCGACAGACCGTCTGCTTCTAGTTGCCCATCTCCACTTGCACCATGACCAAGCTCATCTGCTGGGGTCTTCAAGATCAACCAGCTATACAAGAGGCGACCGCTGAGAAGGACCCTGGGAGGCTAGCGGATTAAGCGCAGTTACCGCCGCGCGGAATCCAATCTCGACGACCAGAGACATCGTACTGCAGGTGGAGTGGACCTCTAGCGAGGGTGACGGTGCGACAGAAACTCTTGAACGCAAGCCAGTCTGCAATTTCGCGACGTTCAAGAGGTGGGTCGTCAAGGCATTCAAGATGACAGAGAAGAAAGAGACGCTGACAGCAATCACGGTGGTGATTGATGATCCTCAAGATGATGAGAGTACTGTCGGTAACGATGCGGACTGGCAGGCGGCTCTACGCGATGCGAGCGCTATTCTGACCGAGCGGGACATCATCACTATCTATCGCAACTCCGAGTTGATGCCCGGCGCGCAGAGGAATGGGATGAACCAGGACCACTTCAGAGACCTATACTACCACGATCACAAGATCAACCGGATGGAACGTCTACAATATAGTCAACCACCCAGAGCTCGAAGGGAGCGCCTCTTGTTTGACCCCAAGCACGCAACTTATGCGTCAGCCCGAGCAGGTCATAGCATTGTGATGGCTACATACAGTCAGCTTCAAGCCATCGAAGACGGCAAGAAGGAGCGAGGAGAACGCGATAGACGCTTGAGGATCATCTTGGACGAAGGACAATGCATCCGCAAGTGCGACGAGACGAGGCAAGCCGGGATACCAATCAGCTGCAAATCAACTGTGACGTCTACAACTACGGCGACGAAGCTGGTGCTCGTAAGGAGCGACTTCTCTTTGACAAAAGGCACAGCGTCTACATGGGGGCTCGTGCGGGGCACACGGTTGTAGTGGCAAGCTACAGCCAGCTGCAAAACCTAAAGGATACCGAGAATGCGCGCGAGCAACGGCACAAGCTTTTCCTCCGCATCATTCTTGACGAAGCTCAATGTATCCGTAGATGCGATCGGACCCGCCAAGGCAAGATTCTCATGTCATTCGATGCACATTTCAAGGCCGTCTTCACAGGATCTCCTGTGGTAGACACTATCCTGGACTTCGATGGGTACTTGGCGTTCCTAGAGTTCGTCGGATGGGGATGGGTCGCCGATTTGAACTCAACCCACAGCACCGACGAGGTTCGAAAATCACGGTACGACAAGTTCAAGGAAGGCCTGGCTACCGGTGTCAACAACCGCTCCGAGCCCCTCGAAGATTGGCACAGCGACTGCAGCTCAGTGGACGAGCCAGATGCTCAACAGATCAAAGAGTCAATCGAAGAAGGGTGGCAGTGCTCCCACTGGCCTGCACTCGTAAGATACAACGGTGATCGACCACCAAGCCTGGATCGCAATGACAGGAAGAAAATCGACGGCAAGACTATCGCGAAGGATGTTTCACCTCCAGTTCAGGAGAACCCCAACGATATGTACTATCCCAGGGTCTTGGATAGTAACAAGTACTACTCGATCGCTTCTTTCAGGCACTAGATCACACTGTCGTCAAGGACCGCTCTGAGCTGATCGAGGGTTGGAAGAGCGACTATAACTCGATGGACGGTCTTGGCGACATGGAGATCGGGACAGAGATCTCGTGCGGCTGGTATTGTGCGTACTAGACCGCGCTGCTGAAGTGCCACCGCGACCAACCGTCAAGTCTCGACCGTAAATCACGGCAGAAGGTGGATGGCCGATCAGTACTGGTAGACATACCAGCACCTTTCCCAGAAAATGCATACGACAATTACCACCCGGCCAATCTTGACGGCTTGAAGTGCTGTTCAACAGCAGCATTCCGTTACTACGTTGGAAGGCATACCAAGAAAGCCATCATGGATGAAGTGGATGTAAAGATCGTCGCCACACGCGTCCACAAGATCCTTGCCATGTTGGTTCTGTCAAGAAACCTGTTCAGTAATGACGTTGCTGAGGCCAGAGAGAACATGAACCTTGTTTTTTGTTCACGCTTTCGTGATATAGGCTTTCAGGAGCGTACAATCCCCTAAATTCACCTCTCCAGCAAACTTATCAATCAGCTGGGAGAAGACACTAGCTTTACCGATGGTTTGATCCCTTGGATTATACATATTTAGAAGCCTACAATCTAACAAGAAGATACCGGGTATTGATATATAAATATTGCGGAGGAATACAAACCATCTACAGTTGTCTGACATTTTGATGGCGACACCTTGGGTAGCTACATGGAAGCGTACGGACACCAAAAAAAGCCCAGAAATGCAGTGCATCTAAGGCCCAGCTCCAATCTCTCCAAGTCATCGGTGCTCTGCACGCACATCGGATTCTCAGGGCTCGAATGTCAACATGGTCGGTTCGCGCGATGCGAAAGGAGGGTCTCCATCTTCTCACCACTAGAACGAAAAAAGTTGAAGCCTCGAAACCGAAGGATAAGAACCGCCCACTGCAAAGCGATGGAACGATCCTGTGTCAGTAATTGTGGAGAAGCCCCGACTACCGCTGATGAGTTGGCTACCTACAACGAGCGAGAAGACAGTTACCAGCGTGAGTTTGCCGAGCACGTCGAAGCGGCCTCGTTGGCAAAGAGCGCGAAGGTGAAGGACTCCAAGACGAACTCAGCAAAGATCTGATCCAAGTTCGCAAAGCTGTCGGTGCTGTGCACGCACATCGGCTTCTCCAGGCTCGACAAGATGTCGACGGCGTCAATCCGTGCGCAGCGGCGCGAGGGCTTTCCTCTGCTCACTGCTCGCATGAAGAAGGCGGGAGCCCTGAACCCGAAAAACAAAGACACTCCGCTCTACAGTGACGAGGAGGTCTTGCGCCAATTCCTCTGGGGCTCTCCGAAGTTGCGCTTCCTTGTATGGGAGATCCAGCGCGTGGTCTTGGGCAAGACCAAGGTCGCCAGCCACAGGAAGCTGCTCCTGAGCTCCCAGTTTCCTCGATCAGCCGAAATGTGCCTCAAGCTTGTAGAATTGGTGGGTATTCACCTGGACATCAGTATGTCCGTCGATGACCGCCATAAGAGCATCCGAGCCTTTGACGAGAAGGACTTTCCACAAGTCCTCATCACCACTTACGCGCTGAACATCGCCGGCCACGACGCGCAGCACCGATGTGCAACAGTACATCACGTCGAACCGGCCTTCAATTGGGCTACAGAGCACCAGGCAGGCACGAGGGTCTACCGGATAGGTCAAGACCAAGAGGTCGAAATCGTGCGCTTGTTCACCGAAGGAACTTACCAGGAGCTGCATGAGGCGGGCATGATCACGAAAGCCAACTCCATGTTTGCCGCTTTTGGTGAGCTGCAATCTGCAAGTGAGAGCCTCGAGGACCGGGAGAATATGACGACAGAGGAGATCGCGAAAGGTGCATTCGGCATAGTCCGGGATCGAGTGCGGGGCCGCGACGACAAAGACGTGCAATCAGCCAAGGAGGACGCCATCACCAAGGCGAAAGGCAAGGCGAGAGTACCGTAAGAATAGGTTGGCTCTGATCGTGCGACTGTCGATTGAAGGTATCTACTAGTGACAGGAACGCCTTTGGAGAGGGGATAGCTTTCGGAGAACTTACAAGTGACACGCATGAGCTAGCTGGAAGGCTACGTTGCAACATGAATAGCGATGACTAAGGCTAATACGTGCACTAGAAAGCTACAACTGGAGTTGCTGGGGTATCAGCTGTACAACAAGGGATAGCTAGGAAGCTACTATGCAGTGCACATTGGTATAACTAATTGTTAAAGCTGAGCGGGGAGACTACAATAGCTATCGTTAAGATGAATTCTAAAACTAAACAATGACTAGGAGATAACATATCCCGTTGGCGGTGATGGCGCGTGCCCACGTTGTGCGACTGTTGAATACGTAAAGCCATCATTGAAAGGGCTTGGTACGGCACTTCATGAGAGTCGGCCAGTGGAGGCCGCAGATCTGATGGCGTTTGTGGACGTCTCCTAACCGCTGCTTACCTGATCACAATGCATCCTCGCTCCTCCTGGCCGAAGAGACTCAATAATCTCGGCGTCGTCACCGAGCTGCACTCTCAGAACCATCTTGGACCTGGCAACGTCTTCGAACAAAGGGTTTGACGTAGTCTACCACGTGCCCGTCTAGACCCTGAAGGATGAAGCGCAAATACGTCTTTCATCCGCTTTTTGTAGAATATCGTGTATGCTCAACCTTTTATTGTATTTATCGGGATGAGTGCCATTAACGCCCATGTCGCTGTCTCGTATATGCGAAACCGTAGCAAGAGACGTGCTAGTCTTCTACCTCCTTCTCGCCGACTATTGTAGCGAGACCTTATCAACTGATGTCGTCCGAGGTTTCCTCGCCATATGACAGAGTACATGCTCTGCCGGTGTGACAATCAAACAGATATATGGTCGGAAAACGAACAGGTAACGAGGGTCTCGTGACTTTGTAAGGTCGCAAATATCAGGTATTGCGTAGTCGTGATGTGGCATGATCGATGTTGTGCTCATGCTGATTCGAAAAAGCTAGTCATTACGCCAGTAGGAACCACGGGCGATTTCTTTGGGCCACGTTTTGACTTCTTGAGCACGCGTTGCGGGTCGCCGTTCCGCCCGATCAAGCGACCGTTGTGTGCTTGACCGTAGTCTTTCCAGTCCTGGCAAGCCTTCCAGGCCGCCAGTAGATTCTTGACGCCGTCATCGACCGCCGTGTCTGTGGAAAATCCCACAAGAAGGTCATGGGCTTGAAGAGCCCATAGTAAAAGCCGGAATTGTGCTGGGGGAAGTAGGCTATGTCCATGCCATACACCAAATCCGGTGAGCGGATGATGAGCGTGAAAGACTGAGAGCGCTGGAGCCATGGCAGGATGAGGTCTGCCTTGCATGCGAAACTATCCAAGCCGATGGAGGGGAGGAATGGCTTGATCCCGCGAGCGGCGAGTTTGTCCAGGCTTGTATCGATATTTTGAACTTGTATGCGCGAGCATAGTACGACCTTATGGAGGGGTCGATTGTCGTGTGCGCTTGGGAGAATTTGTCCGCTGAAGCGCATGACGTGTGGACGTCATACAATGCAATAAGTGTTCCCGGGACATCCAGGTCGCTACCGTGGCTGTCAACCAACGTGTCGAAGACTTTTCTGGCGAATATCGGTAGGCCTTTTGCCATGTCTTCTTCTCCAGACTTCCATGCTTTCGGTGCGGCACTGGAAGACCTTGCCCCGGCGAGCACGCCTCTCGCTTTGCCAGTTGTTGACTAAGGTATGTATTCAGCCCGATGTACGCCGTCGAACCGCGCGTACTTCGAACTCTCCTTGCCTTTACACCTGGTCTCGTGTGAAGCTAGAAGGTACAGGTCGTACCAAAGCTTTGGGCATTTACTGCATTCATACAGTCCCCTCATGTCGTGGACATGCATGCCAGCATGAGTGTCATACACTCAGATGTCCTCTTGTTTCCTTCGCTGTATTATCGTTTTCGGTGCCCGGCTAGCAAATAGAGGCCGGGCCGGGTGAAGCATTCGCCACTTTGTCGTCTTCTGGGGGCCTCATCCGAGAGACTGGGTGACTGCAAACTCCGACGTTGTCGCCAGGGTGGTTGTTGCCAGTTCCCCGAAGAACTGAAAGTGTCATGTATCCTCCTGCCCCGCTCGTACAAAAGTAACCCGTGCCGCCATGTTCAGTCCCAAATGAGAACGTTCTCCAACACAAGTCATCGCTCATGAACTGCATCATTTATTGACGTATAACTGCAGCAGGCTTCTCTTCTTGGCTGAGGCAGCCATCTCGCCATTCAATGAACAAGGGCAATGAAGGTAAGACCGTCTGTGTGACCCAGTTTCTGACGTCGCGCTCTTCAAATCCAGTTACGGCGCTCCAAGTTCTCAGGGTCAGGTGGTACTCCTTCTGACCAAGCTCCTTGATCTTGTAGATACCGGTGATGAGGTACGCGCGGGTACCTTCCAAGGTTGGGTTTCGTCATGGTGCAAATGGAGATGGGTAGACGGGCAAGGTCGCCAAAATGTCTTAGCTGCAGGGATTGATGGCGGATCGAAAGTGGTGGAGGTGGTGGAGGTGATGGGCGTGGTAGGGCTGGTGAGATTGGTAGAAGTAGCAGAAGCGGCGGAGGTATTGGAAGTGTCAGAGGTGGTACAAGCGCTAGACTGCCCAGGTGAGCACGTACCCGTCCGTTCGCAGTCGCGGTGCTTGACGGACCGCGCAAAACCAATTGCGCCGCCACAGGCCGGCGACAACGCTTTGTCTGGCTTGAACCTTCCGATGAGGCACTTGTTCAAAAAGTCGTCGGTAAACAAGCGCACAATCTCGACATGTTCTTTTTAGCTAATACGGTACGCGGCCGTAGCTCTGTAAGTTCTGTTTAGCACCACCAATCACAGGCAACAAGCGATTGCCCACGATTATTGCACAGTATGCCGCTGCAACAGCTACGATAATATTTGGATTCAGATCCCGAAGGGAGATTTTATCTGAAATAGGTCAACAATGCCTTTGCAGCTTCCCAGGCGCCAAAATACACTCACATGCCGACGATTCGTCTACCCGGCCACATGCGGCGCGAACCCATCGCACTTTCCACTCACCTAGCCAACCCCTTCGGCCCCGCCCACTCGCCCTTGACATGATACTTCCCATAAACCCACGGAAAGAAGTCCTTCTTCAGCCAGTAAAACGCCTTCCGCGGCACTCCCTGATCAATTCCCAATAGCCCATTGAACGTCTCCTTCGGCACACCCCCATACATAAACTCCGCAAGCAACACCTCCTTCCTCCCCGTCAGCAACGGACAAGACGTATACCCATCGTAACTAGCCGTTAGCTCCTTGCCCTCCGTCGCTGAGAGTACGTTAGACACCAACACCGGTGCTTCGGCCGTGATGGCAGCCACGGTTTTGGATGTCGGTAAAGAGGACGCGTCGCCTATAGACCAGATGTTGGGGTAAGAAGTGTGTTGCGTTGTAGAATCCGAGACGGAAACGTAGCCTGATTCGTTTGCGAGAGCGCTAGATTTGATGAACCCCCAAGGCACGTTCTTGGGCGCGACGTGCAGGAAGTCGAAGTGTTTCTTCACAGGGGTGGGGGAGTTGGGGGATGTGAAGGTTGCGGTGTTGCCGTTGATGGAAGTAAGGTCGTGTTGGAAGAGACCTTCTACGCCGCGTTCTACGCGGAGCTTTTCGAGCGTTGCTGCGCTGGTGGGGTGTTAGCACATTTCTGCCTCGTTTGCATACTGGCAGGTAGAGAAGACGACTTACTATTTCGGCACACCGAACATCGTAGGCAACCCCGTCGCAAAAGCGACGTTGATATCCTTCGGATACAGCCCAGCATCCTTCCAGTAATCCAACGCAAGCCACATGATCTTTTGCGGCGCGCCCGCACACTTGACCACACCAGCTGGCTGTGTGAACACCGCCTCACCCTTTTTGAACTTCTTCACATTCTCATACGCCTTATCGCAATACGCATAGTCGTAGATCGTGCTCACCATAGCATCTTTCTCCTCCAACGCCTCCTTCAACCCACTCACACTACCATAGTCAAGCGTGATACCGGGCACAACAACCAGCTGTTCATACCCAATCTTCTCGCCGTTACTGGTCAGGACGTAATTTTCCTCTGGTGCAAAGCTTCCTACAGCGCTGTTGTAGAATTTGAAGCGTGGATCCATGAGCTCTTTCAAGGGGCGGCGCAGATCTTCTTTCTTTTTTAGACCGCCGCCTACGAGCGTCCAGCCCGGTTGGTAGTGGTGCCATTGCGCGGGGTCTATGATGGCGATGTCGTCTTGGGAAAAGTTTCCTTTGCGCAGGAGTTGGTGAGAGAGGGATATGCCGGCTGAGCCGCCGCCGATTACGACGATTTTGTGGTTGCGGGTCGTTGTTTGTACTGGTGATACGGTTGCTAGATTGCGGATGGTGTGTTGGAAGGCTGGTCGCGTGATCTTGGTCGCGGTTTGCGATGCACGTTTGAGGGTTAGTGCGGACATGGTGGCTGGGTTTGGCGACTGTCCGCGAAGGCTAGGAAGGGAAAAGGAAAAGTGGAATGTAAAGACAGACAGGAAGGCTTACACAAAGAGGTATGCGGTGCCTCCGGTCTTCGACTAAACATTTCATGCCATGTGGGTCAGCGGCTAGCAATTCAGGAACGACCAATGGATGAGGTGGAGATGGGTACTAGCGTGATCACGACATCGTCGGAAGAGTAAGCCAGCAGTCACAACCAAACATCACAATCACGACGAGACACAAAGTGTAACTGTACACAACATAACATTAACTCGTTTTAATCATGAAAACTATATAACAGACATCCTAACCCAGCGACTTTTTACAAGCGCGACAGTCCAGCAATCTCCCTCGGGGCGTGGTAGTTGGGGACCTTCATGTCGAGGGCGCTGCCGCTGTAGCCCAAGTCCTCACCCGTAAGCACGGCGCACTTCTCGCCAATGAGGAGCGCAGTCGAGTACGTGTTGCAACCGACGTTGTCGGGGCAGATGGACAAGTCGGCGACCTTGAGGCCCTTGACACCGTGGACGTTGAGGCGCTCGTCGAGCACACCGTGCTTGACGATGGAGTTGCCGTTCCTGGGTGCCATGGAGCAGGTACCGAGCGAGTGCCAGGTGGTCTCAACGTGGCCTGTAGTGTGTTAGTGAGATGTCCGACGACTCATGAGTAGGGGAATACATACGCTTGGTCCAGTCCTCAATGTGCTTGATGTCCTCGGTGGAGTACTGCAAGTCCTCCTGAATGTCCTGGCAGCTCGAGCTCAAGAAGTTGGGCTTGGCTGCACGACCCTTCTCGATGGGCATAGTCCAAGATCCGTGCTGGATACCGGCCGTGATGTTACCAGGGAGCGCGTAGGCGTTGGTGGTTTGAAGATCCATATCCTTGGCACGGGCTGGGCTGTCGTAGCCGTAGAAGGGGTGCATGGCCTGCACCTCACCAGCGTAGGCGTCCATACGGCGGGCAGTCTCACGGGACTTGATGTAACCCCAGACCATAGGAGCCATGTCGCGCTTGTCGTTCATGAAGCCAGCGTCGAAGTCGGGGGCCTCGTACGGGTTTGGCGACACAATGTGCGTGGAACCACGAGAGAAGGGATACTCGAGGAAGTGGAACATGGTGAAGAACTTGCCCGGTGGCATGACCATGTGGTCACCGAACCAACCAGCAATAACGGAGTAATGCATGACGGGCTTGTCGGGCTTGTCCTTGAAGTACGAGTCCCAGCCCGAGCGGAACTCCTTGCATGGCCAGCTGTCCATCATGTTGAGTTCTTCCTCAGTCGGTCGGATCTTGACACCAGCCTCGATACCATTGGTGGCGAGTGGGCCAGTGCCGTTGATGTTCCATTGCTGGAAGACCGCCTCCTGGACCTTGGGGTCGCCACGGACGAAGTCGTCGAAAGATTCGACATGAGGCTTAGCGCGGTAGGTGGCGAAGGTCAAGTAATGATCCTGGAAGTTGAGACCAACACCAGGAAGATCGACGAGAGGCTTGACGCCAGCCTTGCGGAGCTTCTCTGGGTCACCGATACCAGAGCGCTGAAGGATGAGAGGAGAGCTCAGAGTACCACCGGAGACGATGATCTGCTTGCGAGCCTTGATGACCCTCGACATCTGCTGTTCGGGGTGGAGAGGCTTGGTCGGAACAACCTTGACGCCAACGGCGCGGTCTCCCTCAAGAATGACCTTCTCAACTTTGTTACTGGTGAGGAGGTGCAGGTTCTGGTGAACAGCGCGGGTGCTGTGGATGTAGCCGTGAGCAGAGTCAGATCGTCGTCCGGTATCGCGGTTGATCCACTTGAGCCAGTGCTCGGCACCGTGGCCAGTGGTCAGGTCCTGGAGATCGTCGGTGGTCGGGATGCCCTGAGATTCGGTGGCACGGAGGAAGTCCTCCTTGATCGGGTATGTGTAGTTACCGAACGAGACCTTGATGGGTCCCTCGAAACCGTGGATGTCGCGGTTGTTGCAGGAACGTTGGTAGGTCTCGTGCTTCTTCATCAAGGGAATGAGCTCCTTGGTGGTCCAACCCTTGGCCTGGAAATCATCGTAGTCGGAAGCGGAGGCACGAGTGTACATCTGATGGGAAGTCAATAACTGCTAATGATAATGTGGATGGGAAGTTCTTACCATGAAGTTGATGGAAGATCCACCTCCGAGGATGTTGGCGACGGGCACAACAGCTCGGCGGCCATCAAGCCACTCCGAGGGACGAGAGTAGTAGAAAGTGGCAGTCTTGCTGTCCAACTTCATGTTCCTCGGGTAGATACCCGGGCGGAAGACCCATGGGTTGTTCAGGTTGTTCTCTCCACCCTCAATCAAGAGGACCTGGAGGTTGTGGTCGAGATTGGCCAGACGTCCAGCAACCACACAACCACAAGAACCACCTCCACACACGATGATGTCGACCTCATCGGGAATCGTCATCTTGAAGGCTGTCGATGAGATAAAGATATAATTAGAAAGGTGTTATTGTTGTATCGTTGACCGCAGGAGACAAGTCAACTGGGCATGATGCTCTTCTCAGTCGAAGGCACGACGTCTCTTTAAACTGTTCAGACCCCGCATCTCCAGGATCTTCGGCTTCAAGGAGGGTCCGTCATCTAGGCTGTGTCACTACGCGCTGTCCATCAGCCGTCAATTCCGATAGCAGCAAGATGCATGCACCGAAGAGGGGACATGTACCATTTGGCCAGCCTCCCCAGCCAAAGAGGCTTAGACGTTGGCTGCGACCATCCATCATGGGACCGCAGGGGTCGCCGTCGAGGCCATTCGAAGGGGAGCGGCATGTCAAACTTGCGGATCCGCAAGGTAGGCTGCGTCTATGCCGGACTTCCACAGGGTAGGTGCGCAAACAATGATTGGTCGGAATGCTCGCGCAAGGGTACATACCGTCCCGACGGTACTGGATAAAGACCGGACTGGGATAGACGCTGCAGTTTTCGCATGTTTGCTAGTTGGGTGCGGAGAAGCAACATATCCAGTAAGAAGACATGCTCGGTTGCGTACACAGGCCCACTCTTGGGGGTAAGCATTGCGGACCCGAAGCTGAGAGGCCGATGTAGCGTCCCCAGGCGTCGAGCTCCAGCGTATCACGTATAAACAGGAATGAACGAGGCGTTTGAGTGAGCCGCCGTCGGGAAAGCGATAACCGAGATATGAGAATCGTTTATGACGGATGCACAGAGAAGGAATTGATCCGAAATCTTTGCGCGGGCTTTCGCAATGGCCAGACAGGTTCAAGCACTCTATGCTGTGCTTTCCAGAGCTCCAAGTAGCTTCAAGGATGATAGTCCTGGAAGCTCATGCAGCTGCGGCAAGAGGGATTAGCTCGCGTCCCTCTGCGGGGGTCTTGCGGCGCTGACGTCTCATGGCGACTACTGCACCCCACATCCGCATTCTTCCACGAGAGATGCACGGATGTACTGTGGGTGCCTCACGCGCTCGGCGCACTCGTGGTTGACGGAGGTATCAATGGATTGGAGGTTATCATCGGCGTTGATGGCATCCATGGTAAAGTGAGAGTCAGCAAAGACAGGATATCCATCACCATCCTTCCAACTCCACTCCCCCACCCACCCAGTGCCGTAGTCGTTGTGCCTCACGTTGAGAGGAGGTCTGCCCTTGGCGTCGAAGCTAGTGCGAGTAAGTGCGGGGTTAGCTCCGCTTCGAACCACGGAAGAACGGTAAACCAGTCGTTGGAAACGGTCTCGTACGGGAAAGGAATGGCTTCCTGCTGTTGTACATTCTGTCCGTCGAGATAGTTCACATCGACTTGCTACTAGACCCTGTGAGCCGCAAACCCAAAGGCGACCCTTAATGTCACGATGTTACCTTATTCCCGAGGTACAGTTCATGCCCACTAAACTGTAAACCTCAGCGATCGCAACTCTACATCGGCCACAGCAAAGCGAAGCGAACGTGTGTTTTATCGAATCATACTCAGCAGTAGCTGCATTAGGACGGTATTGAAGTTTGGCGGTCTTGGTCTTGGGCTTGTCCAGATCGGCACGCTACCGCGAGGTTCCTTTTTTGAGGCTGCGCGAGGCTGCGCGAAACGCGCCCCTATGTGACTGACTCGTCATGAATGCATGGGCTGGGGCTTACGTGGAGATGTTTATGCAGATGCTGACCGGAAAGTTTCCGCTACCTTGAAAGCGCTATTCTGCAAGTCAAGGAGGAGGCTGGGGCACGCGTTGCATCCGCGTCGAACTTGGCATCGGTCGTTCAGGCCGCCAGTCAGCGCGAAATGCGCCCTGGTCCTGAACGGTCCTTCCTCGAGCCTACTCCATCTCCGGATGTGCCGCGATCCACCTAGCGACTCTGTGCTGAATATCGATGAAGCTTCGTGATATCAAATGATTGCTATACCTAGCACCACCACCGGCTATTGTGCTGGGGCTACTGTATATCGAGATGCGGATCCGATGGGAGCACACCGCTTGGAATTGAGATTGAATCTGAATCTGTAGAAGGTCCGAAAGTCTAGGGATACATGATGCATCTACTCCTCATGACACCCATCTTGATCTGGGTATCGTTTTTCCAATATTCCAAGATGTCTTATAACGCCGAAATGCAATTTTGTAAGAGCGGAGAATGGAAACCAAAGACGCCGTGTATGCCGAGCAAATCGCTAACAAGTAAAGCAATGGGGGTCCTCAGATGATTTCGTGTCTCTCCCAGCCAGTCGGCTTCATGTGGGCAAGGTCCTTGGTCGGATGAGGCTCCTCTGGGTTCCGGTATTCGCTCACGTATGGGTTAGGGTCTTCCTTCTGGTCGAGGTTACCGAACGTGTGATTAACCTCTCGGTGCTTGGATTCGTCTGCGCGGACTAGGATTGGGTTAGTGGGCTGTGCTGCATGGAAGGATCAGGGGTATACGCACTGTAGAGGAGCAGATCTCGCATTGTGCGGTGGCCTTCAGGCATCTGCCAGTAGTCTACCGCGATCTCGGGTGCCTCCATCTTCGCCCACTTAGGCAGGCGGCCTGCATCAAGATCCTCGATCTGGCGTGTGTATGTGATGACGGCTTCCTCTTCGAGATATCCTACGAATCGATGGACGGTGCGGGGACTGAGGAGGTAGGCGAAGAACAATGCGTTGCACCAGACTCCTTGGGCGCCTAATACCATCAGACGCATGAAGCGTCCTGGCTTTTGCATCTTGAGGAAGACGAGTAGGTGCATTCGTTCGTTGTAGCTTTCTTCGAGTAGCGATTCAATCCTTGCGAATGATGTATTAGCAACGACTTCGTATTCCAATAAGCGAGTATGCATACCATCCATTGTCGCGCTTCATCCGTCTCATGGAGTGCAAGTGGCGAAGCATACCAGCGACCATGCCGGGTACACCAGCCACACTCTCCAAGAAGACATTTCGAATGAGATACTTCTCTTCATTCATTGCAAAAGCCTTCCGCTTTGCCAGTGGGTCTTTCGCATCCACATCCACAGCCTTCTGATGCTTGTATCCAGTTGCTTTGTCAAGACCCCAGCGTAGGATCTTTACGGCGATGAGGGCGACCTTGTCGGACATGGTCTTCGCTTCTCGGTGCGCGATCGTGACTTGGTTCATCTGCTCTTCGGTGTATACTGGTAGGTATTAGCTGGTTGTCAAGGCGTTGTGTACTTGGAGGGTACGTACCTGGATGAGGCCATGCTGCATGCGTCTTGCGGACCTTCTCTGTCGGGTGCTTCTCAAAGAACTCTACGATCTTGGCTCCGCCATTTGGTGAAGAGGTGAAATGCCTCTGACCAACTGGTGACTGGAAGTGCTGTACCGCAACGAATGTGGGCCGGAATCCAGCATTGTAGCTCTGGAAGGACTTGATAAGCTGAGCCGTAGCCCGCTTCGAGGTGGTTGATCCCCGTGTTGTTGCTCTGGTGGGGATCATCTGCGGTTTAGGGTATACTTGTATATGTTGAGTAGGCGTATGTAGGGCAAGTGGCGATATCAACTGCAATGGTAAGTGCTGATGGTTAGCAAGAAGCACGACTGAGGCACACGTTGGTCCTTTATATCTGACACCTAAAAAAAAACTATCGAGCAGTACTCGTGCCTGCCTGGCGCGTTCAGTCATCATTAGGGTGAAGCAGGAATGGGCATGGGATGCCGCCGCTACACCGCGCCATACCCGTCCTGCGGCGACTCGGCGAGCGAATGGGGTGCATTCCAGAGGCCGGAAGTGTCAGCAGTCGTCAATTACGGGCGTATCGGTCGCGTGCAAAGACGAGTTTGAGGTGGCTGAGAGGAGTGGTGATTCAGCTGACGGAAGGAACCGGGATCGCCCTGCCAAGACATTTTACCTACCCCTGTCCAACAGCTCAAAGGGGGACTTTGGCGACGAAGAAAAAGATACGAAAGTATAATGCGACTGATCAAAGCAAGCTTGGTGGTTTTTCAGAACCGTGTACGATGAACGGACGATGTTGTTGCGTTGGATGCGTGGTCGCTGCTTCCGGAAGAAGCTCGTCGGGGTCTCGCTGACTGAGATCGGGGTCTCGTTGTTTGCCGTAGACCCGCTGATAGGGCTGACGCCACGGCGCAACATCGAAATATAGCTGTACCATGATAGTAATCTTTCGTCTGTGGCTTTGATGACCTGGTACATGGTTTCATGGTCAATTTTAAGCGGTAGAATGCTTTGTGGCTGCTACCTCAAGACGCGGTGCTGTGCCTAGGTGGTGTTGGCAGCTTCAGCATATCGATCTTCGACTCAGATCAATCACACCTGTGGACGTGCGAGCTGTCTAGACTTCATTGACACACTAGCGACGGGGTCTTGCTTCACCTAAAGAGAAAACTTTCAGCATCTTGCCGATGACCGATTGAGAAAGGGCGAAGACTGCCGTCAAGTCGGCAAGAACGTGCGCACGGCAAGTCACGAGCAGGATGCTTTTTGAGCAAGTATGTTATCGGTGCGCGATGTATGTTGCTGCAACATAGCTCAATGATAATTGAGTAGCCTGCGTGCTCGAGAGAAAGCCTGTGGCTGAAAACGCCCGATATCGCACTTAAATTGATGCATGCTATTACACTACTCTTTTCATGCCATTGATGGGCTACGGTAGCGCAGGACATACATGATTGGCAGATGTTGGTTCAAGTCAATGCCGGCAGGTGTGTTGAGTCTTCCAAGGTTGTGTTTGGGGAGCCGAGTACCAACTACTGGACGTTGAAACCGCTCTCACCGTCTTTGGTCGAGATGTCCGAATGGTCAACCTTTGAGACTGATGCAGCCGACGGTCCCTTGTTCAGGTGTTGAACGAACTCTTTGATCTTATCCTCGCTGCCCTGAGCCTCGCCTTGGACCTGCCTGGTATGAGTGGTGGTCAACGCAAGTATGAGTCAAATACGCACACTCCCATCGGATGCATTGGTCACGAAGCCCGTTACACCGAGACTCTTTGCTTGTTTTTGCGTGAAGGATCGGAAGTTGACGCCCTGCACCTCGCCCTCGACTTTGTACTGGATCTGAGTGGCTACATCAGCTTTGCCACTAGTGACGTGGGCAGACAACGCACTCGCTTGCTTGACATTCTGGCTGTAGTTGCAAAGAATCGTCTCATGTGAGTGGGGTTGTTGCGAGAGGGGTGTCTGCTAGATCAAATTCATGCAAATGTCTGCTTGTAATATAGGGCGTATGCTCATGCAGGCGTGCGACGTCATCGTTATTGCGAAAGGTACACGCTACTTCGGGAAGGAACCCTTGAGCTTTCACCTGGATTGCGGGGCCAGAAGCAACCTTCGGCGGGCGGGAGGCATCTGGCGCCGCAAAGGAGAATTTGCTTTTGACACCTGTTCAGATCAAAGGATAATCGCAATGACATGCGTTCGCGGCTATACGGAGATTGCATCGGTGAGGACGCTCAGGGCGATGTGGTGCCGCTAGTCACGCGTTGTTTTCGGATACAATCTCGCGTCGCTCCCCGTTACTGAAACCTCTAATCAAACGCCCCCTATCGCAACCCCGACTCACATAGCAACAACCGCACATTGCCCAGGAGGCTCCGCAAACAAGAGCAGTGCTAGATAACCCGCCACCGCTCCGTAAATGCCTAGGATTCGAAAACACCGAATCTCTCTGCTGATAAGGAGTCTCACGACTGCGACGGCCCTGCACCTGCCACCCCTGTCAACCACCATGGACACGCCCAACTCCCCACCCGCACGTTCAACCTCGCCCGACCCTTGGGCAACCCCATCGCTGGCCATCGGCGCAATTCCCCCGCTCGACCGCTCTGTCTCAACCGCGTCGTCTGTCTCGTCGGCGCGCTCAGTGAGCTCGCGCCTCTCCGATGGCGGCAGGCGACGTGGTTACATGCGCCCCGAGGGCACCGAATTCTCCAAATCGGCGAAGAACAGAGAGAGTGTCATGAACCTGGGCACCATCGCACATCTCCAGTACTACTTCGCGCGGACGGGCCTGCTCGACACCGCGACGGGACGCGTGGCCAAAGGCCGCAAGCCCGGATCGCGCACAGCGAGCGGCAACGAACCAATGTCGCCTGGCCTCGATGCCGACTTCTCGACGATGTCGCTGGCGTCACCAGACGGGATGAATGACCCAGTGGGCTTCGTCGAGTCACCGCTTGACGAGACGGCGTCCATGCAGTGGGAGGACCCTGAGCCCATGATGCTCCCGCCTACCGTCAGCACCTACAAGAACAACCCCGTCTACGTCCCGCCGCCGCCTGATATGACTGTCCTGCGTCGCGAGCTACGCGAATCGCTGGCCGAGTCTATGAAGCATCTGCACGAACTCGAAAAGGGCTTCTCTGATGTTCAGCCGGACGGAAAGACCGCGAAGAACGGTGGCGAGGAAGCGTCAGGCTGGCACGAAGTACAAGGCATTAATCTCTTGGACGTCACCACCCTCGCGATCCGCGCCGCGAAGAACTACTACACCGCACACGAAGAACCACAACGACTCTACGCCATCAAGTCGGAACGGACGATCCGAAAGGAACTATACGATACACTCGAGGTACTGAAACGTCTCGCCATTCGCAACTTCGGAAACGGCGTGCAGCCGTATGAAGTCACCCAACTTAAGCAGTGGGTCGACGACATCGGCACACTGCTCGACACGGAAGAGGAGAAGGAGCGCTTGGAACTTGCAGAAAGAGAAAGCTGGTCGTGGCGCGAGGGTGACTGGGCGGGCAAAGAACGCGAGAGGGAGCTGCTCTTCCTCAAGTCGTTTGACAGCAATCCAGAGCCCCTGCCTGAGTGGACCAGCGCTGCCGACTCTGAACTCCCAACACCCTTCCTGGCCGCGCTACAGAACGGACTGCGCCTCGTACATCTCCACAACACTCTCGTCCGAAAATCAAAACGACACTTTGAAGAGATCAAGACGTACCACACCGACACAGCCAAGCCGTATCGCTGCGCTGACAACCTGCGCTACTGGGTCAAAGCCGCCGAGTTACGCTGGGACATCAAACTCGACGTTAATGTCATGGACGTGGTCCACGGCGAGGACGCAGAAGCGTGGAAGAAGTTCGATGCTGCCATCCTGCAATGGTGCCAGGGCGTGCGTGAGGAAATCACGTCGGAATGGCAAAAGCAGAAGAACCAAACGAGAACCCCTACACTACAGATCGACCCGAATTACGAGGCGCTGTGAAGTGGCCTTATGGCAAAGTATTCATGGATCTCACCCTTCTTTCATTTCTTGTCCATGTTTCCCACTTAACCCTTTATCTAATTTGCACGAAGCTCATGTCCACCCAAATCTCAACTCCACACCATAGAGAATTTCCTCAAAGAGTATTCCCTGGTTGGAAGCAGGGCTCTTTTACCATTCCGCTCAGAGCGTGCCGATAGGAGGCGGCTTGAGATAGATACCCCCTTTGCACCTGCGGCTTGCAGATCTATAGTGTTATATACAGTCAAGTCGGAATGTAAATAATGTGTACCAATGTATAATAGGTCCCCAATCGGAAATCCCATTCAATCCAAGTCCGTCCAGCTCAAAGGACTGGGGACGGATCCACCACGATACGGGGTAGAGAGCACATGACCATGCATAGCACATAGTGAACGTGTATAACACAAACGATAAGATCGACGACCGAGGCGTCTAGAAAGGGTGGCACAGACCGAGGCGTTGCACCTTGAGTGCCAATGAGTGGAATGAGTGGGAATGAAAGCACTGATAGCAGGGGGGAGCTGGCTGCTGGCGGAAATTGGGCACAGCGGCGCCCGGTGAGACACAAGCGGGACGTTTTGTGAACGGGTGTCTCTAGACCTATGGAACGCCTCCTCCAAAGACACACAATGAATACACACCACTCGCGCAAGCACTGTAAACCTTTTCATTGTTGATGCGCCACACCGACATTGTTGTTAAACAGAAGCAACGCGTTAAGTACTAAGCTAACGCGAGTTCGGCGCCAACCCAAAGAACGTCGATTCATCTCCCGATTGATCTTTTGATCCGTGCATAGCGATACCAGTCCTGCGCAGCCTCCTCTTTTGTCTGAACGCGACCTGGAGGCATCCTCGAGGTCCACACAGACATGCTCAATGAGCGACACGGCCGCGCCGCCTTCAGTTCTCGACAGCAGCCCCGCCGCGACTGCCGTTGACTTGCCAGCGAAGACACCGCCGAACCCACCACCGACGACCACGACGTCGTCATCCTCGCCCAAACCCCTTCGGCACACGCCCGCCCACATTGAGAGCACCACCAAACTCGCGAGAAATGTCTCCCCGGGCCTGCTGGCACGCATGAAATTCCTCAACCAGATCGCCGACACCAACAACAAGAGCGCCGTCGACGTCGGCCGCATCGAGGAGGACCGCCTGCGCCGCCTGGACGAGTTCCGCAAAGCCCGCAGCCTCGAAGTCGAGCGCCGCGGTACTGCGTGGTCCGGAAAGGCTGGTCAGGCTCCCGCCGCTGGAGAGACGCCGCTCGTGCCTCAGTCGACCGGCGAGAGCGTGCCCACGCTGGTGATGGAGCCCGACTTTGACAGCGACCACAGCAGCGTCGTCAGCACCAGCGATAAAGTTCTCCCCTCTGAGTCAGAAGCCGAAATAGAGCTCGACCTGCAAAAGTACCGCCTGCCCGACGTCACCAAGTCGGAAAAAGCACTCAGCGGCACCATTACCGCTGCTGAGCCCGAACCCGCGCCCGCACCGCCCGCCGAACCAGCACCCACAGTCGCGCCTGCCAAACCAGAACCTGTCGCGCCTGCCGACCCTGAGCCCACCGCACCTGCCGACCCTGAGCCCATGGCCGCGCCTACTCCCCCACCCAAAGACACGCCACCCCTACCCGCCCCCGTACCCGAAGAGGAGCCATCCGTCCTCGACGACAACAATGGCATCGACATCGCGTCCTACTTCGAGAAGCGCCACTACCCCCGCGCCAACTCCATCTACACCCTCTCCAAGGCCAGCTTCACCAACCAGATCCAGCAGCTGACTTCGATGAAGCTGCCGCCCACAACCATCGCCTCCGAAATCACCGCCCTCCCGACTTCCACCCAGGCCGGACGCGCACTCCACAAGGCAGCCAACGACATCCGCCTATGGATATCCAAGACGAAGGAGGTCCTCAGCGGCCTCGACGCCGACGATGACGTAGAGTGGGCCGCAGCTGCCGGAAGAGAAGGCCTGGAGGAGGTGGATGCCGCCATCGGCAAGTTCGAAGGGCTCGTCAACGTCTACATTAGCGCAATAGAAGACCTGCAGTCGCGTTCCGACATTGCGCTCCTGCCCACAAAAGACCAGACGACGCTTGTCAGCCAGATGGAGGACATCGTCATGAACTGGGGCGAGATCAAGCAGACGCTCAAGAACATCAAGAACCAGGTCGAGGTCGCCATGGAGTGGGAAGAGCTGTGGAACAACGTGCTTGGCGAAATCGGCGCCGAGGTCAGAAACCTCAGTCGTCTGATCTTTGAGATGGAGGAGCGCAGACACCGCGTCATCTCCGACTCAGTCGCCGAAGCCCCCGAGAAGTTTGACATTTCCGAGCTCGAAACCGTCGTTGAGGTAATCCCCCGGAAGCAGTCGATAATCAACAGCAAGCGGCTTAGTATGCCGCCCAGTCTATCCATCGTCTCGCCCACCTCGCCCATCCCGCAAATCGAACAAGAGAATTCGCGACTGCTAGCCCTCTTCGCCAAGCTACAGCCACTGCGTGCTTCGCTCGACTTCCTCCCTATGCGACTCAGCGCCTTCCAGATGCGCGCGAGCACCATCTTTCCTTCCGCCTGTGACGAACTGGTACGGAGGAAGGAATCGCTAGAAGAGGAAGAGGCTAAGCTCGAAGCCGATGCTGATGCGCTGAGGCAAGAGCTGGGCGAGGACAAATGGGTGCACAGCTTCCGTCAAGCTCACAGCAAGGCTGCTGCCATGTACGACTCGTGCATGAAGAGCATCGAAAGACTGCAGCAAGCTATTGAGGACAGCGACGAGGAGAAGCTGGCTACGCGCATCGCCACCTACAAAGACAAGCGAGATCACTACCCTCCGTCTATGAGGCGCGTGCTTGAGCTCATCGATATCGAGATGAAGCACAGGTCCACAGTCAACGGTGAGATCCTGCGTATCCAAAAAGACGTCCGCGCAAAGGTGGAGGACTTGGAAGACGTGACTGGAAACACGGACATCATCTTGAACGACTTCACCACATCGCGAAAGCTTCGCGACTCAGTCTCCACTGTGCTAACAGAGGGCTCCTTACCACAGTCAAGCCTTGACACACCAGGCACATCCCCCGCTTCGAGTGTCGTCATGAGCCGTAAGAGTAGTGGACAGCGGCCTTCCATCACTCCAGTAAGCAAGAAGCCTCGTCAGTCCAGTGTTGCGAGCTTGAAATCGTCGGCCCCGCCCAACCGGCGATACTCCAGCATACCACTGGGTGCTGAGAGTGTCGCTTCTCGCAAATCTACACTCGAGCGTTCCGCACGTTTGGACTTTACACCTTCCCGCGCCATGGCTGGCACCGCAGCTAGTCAAGCCCGCGCGAAGACGCCGACCGATAGGCCTGGGCCCAAGCCCCGGTGGAACTCGGACACGCACATGCGCGATACTGTCGTCGGACACAACTTTAAGCCCTTGACTCTGACTACGCCTTCGCCCTTCCGGAAAGACGAATCACCCGACGGATCGCGACTGGGCTCAGCAAGCCGTTCGTCGATACCCCTCAGAAGCCCACTGAGTCGCTCCTCAGCTCTTTCGCCGACTGCATCCAGCCGTTCTCCATCAACTACTCCAGGGCAGCAGCGCTCTGCTCGATTGATGCCAAGCCCAATGAACTCCTCTCCCGTTACTCCTGCCAAGGGCAAGCTGCCGATACGATCAACGCCCCTGTCTTCCTCAAGTACAAGTACGCCAGCGTCTAGCCGTCGTGTCTCAACAGTAGTAGAAAGCGGCAAGAGCCCTGCCAAAGAAGAAAGTCCGGCGGCCCGTCGCGCATCACGCCCTCCGAGTGCCGCAGCCAGTCGTCGCAGCAGTCTGTTACCTACACCTAGGCAGCGCACCTCATCCACTTCCGAGACCACCAAGTCAACCCCACCTGCTAAGTCGACCCCTCCCGGACGCTCCAGCAGCAGGCTCGACAGCCTGGCCGAAAGCCGTACTTCTAGCCGTGTTAGCGGTCGCCAGTCAAGCGTAGGAGATAGACCGGTTTGGAGATAGGCACTTGCAAATCGGACAATTCACCTCGACGGACCGGCGCAGACCTGAACAGCACCTCTTGTTTCCAAACGAACGACAGCAACATCACGCAATCAACGTTAGCGAAACCTACTTATTCACCCCCAACTTTCACTTCGCGTCTGGATCCTGGCTTGGTCCTAAACCCCGTTCCCTAATATCGACTTCTAGTACTAAGCATCTGCATTCTTTCGAAGAAGAATCTCTCTCTTTCCCCGCGATGTATCATCGAAATATCCATCTCACCTCTGGACCATTATATCCACATTTTTGATTTGTTGCTTTTTCCATCTGGCGTTTTAGCGGTTGGGAGAAAGTATCCTATACCCCGGAGTTTCACACGTGTTTTTGGCTTTCTTTGAAGAAGCATTTTCTGTTTCACACATGGCTGAGCGAGCGAGCGTATCTGGCGAATGGAGTGCGTGTGAGCGTTGGCATGTTTTTGTGCGTGCTAGGCGCTTGCAGCATTATGGAGAGAGGGATATTGGGAGCGTGCGCGGAAGTATGCTTTTGTAGATAGGAGCTAGATTGGTATTCATGGGTGGATCGGGAGCGGATGGTGGAGGTTGGGGGCAGCAGACTAATTCTATGTACGAGACAGTGTATGTTAGATAGTAGTTGAGCGAGATATAGAATGATACCATAGTAAACCGATCTGCCTCCATTGGCTGTACAGTCGATATGATTCACCTGGTTGAGGTTCAAGCCCGGCCATCAATGTCATTGTCTCCCCATATTCAAGACATGAACACGTGAGTGGATGGCATCAGTAGATATCGAGCCAAAGGGTTCACACCTGACCCATGTCAAATACCTAGACAGCAGCTCTAGACTGTCTTATTGGTATCTTATTTGGAGACACAGGTGGTATTACAGACATTGTACTCACCCAGCCATATAAATTCCTACAAAGTACCGACTCTGTTCTTGCACAGCCATCCACACCGTTCCATACACAAAAGCCTAACACCTTCACACCTAACCACATCCATTTCGATGACGCCCACGCACGAAGAGAAGTTTTTACAACACAAGAACATGCAGGGTTGTTTAGCCGTAAACTGTCGGTTCTGCAAGTGGGAACGCGAACTCGATAGTATCCCAGTAGAAGAGGTAGCCCCGCCTTCGCCATCGACGCTTGAGAAGATACGTTCGGGCCAGAGGGTAAGGGCAGCCGCGAGGAAATCCAACGGGACAGAACGAGAGCGGGACAGTACTGCATCTACATCATGGCCTCCGGACGATGCGCGTTGGGATATGAATCCACTGGCGTCGCCGTTAGTGAGTAGGAGTAGGAGGGATAGTATACATTCTTGCGAAGAAGATGGTATGGAGGATAGGGAGGGTGTGGAGGTGTACTACACTGAGCAGTCTGCATCCTCACGCGATGGCAAAATCGACAAAAACACTCCCGAAGACATCGAGATCCCAGACAACGACACCAACCCACCAAGCCCCACTCCAAGCTCAGTCTACAGCACCGACAGTACCCTCGCCCTCGTCCACAGCCCTCTCTACACACAAAGCGAAAGCAACATATCCGACCTACCAGGCGATAGCACCTTCTCCAACTTTCTAGATGAAGTCCTTTTTGATCTTGGCGCTTGGCTTGATGCTGGGGGTTTGGAGAAGGGCGGCCTGCACGACGTTATGCCGGAGGAGGAGTATGCAGAGTATAAGGAATGGTACAAGGCGATTGGAGGAGGAGTTGCGAGGGGTATGGTTGAGCGGGGAGTTATGGGGGTGGAGAGGAGGAGGAGGTGGAGTGTGTGATGGCGTTGGTGATGGCGTTGGTGATGGCGTTGGTGATGGCGATGGTGATGGCGATGGGATGGTGGATGTGGAGGGGGAGAAGGATTATGGTGATGTAGAGTGGTATCATATGTTAGGTTTATCGCACGAATAGTTCTTTTGACTGATGGAAGTGAACATTTAATCTCCTACCATCAATTCTTCGACCACATAATGCTTCAAGACTTACATATTCTGCAAATGCCCGACCTTTTAGGTTACTGATCCTGCACAGCGGCCGTGGTGGCTGAGCTGAACCCGCTAGATACATGCAGGGGGTAGCCTTCAGAAAGCCTCCGACGGTACTAAGAGCTGCCGTTGCATATCCTCCGCAATAAAGTCCCTGCGTAAATCTAAATGAACTTGGCAGTATACGGAACGGAGTTGACGATACTGTCATCCGGATCGGATGTCAGTTTGGTTACCGACATCCGCCGGCGCCGCCCAATTGGAAAACGAGGATTGCAAAGCACCGAGTCTACGTACCTACTCATGCTGCTTTTGATATCTTTTGTGATCGTACGTGGCAGCTAGCCATGCAGTATCGTTGGTAAGCGACAGGGGTGGGTGGGGGAGGCGGAGGGGAGGCGGAGGGGTGGAGGTGGAAGTCTGTCCCGAAACCGTGGTAGGAGTCTGGGCACTGATTATTTTACTGCGTGCCCCTGCATGTAGTCATACACTTAACCGGGTTTGGCACATTGTATAGGTAAGATTGGAAGCGGTATAGAGCTGTACCATGCTTCAAGTTCCAACTTGACGGCCTTGTCTGCTTGTCGGTGAGATGGAATCGGCCCTCTAGTGATTGAATGCTTACGATCATGGCTTCATTGTATCCCGCGATGGAAGAATGAAGAGCATATATAAAGCACCGTACACCACCTCGAAGCTTCATCAACATCGGATCCTCATCAGTGTCTTGCAATTACAATACATCTTTACTTACACTCGACAAACACTTTCTCCCCAATCTTGAAATGGCACCCGAACAAGAGCCAAAAGGCTACCGATGGGACATCATCACAGCGGAAGAACTCAAATACGCTCCGCCGTACTTTCAAGACGTCCCAGAAACAACGACTGAAGTGGAGTGTAAGCTCAGCGGCACATGGCCCAAGTGGCTTCATGGCTCTTTCCTTCGGTACGTCACCCTCCACCCTTCACATCTCCCCTAAACCCCCAGCTAACATTAACTTCACCACAGGGTTGGCGTAGGCCGTTTCACAGTCCCCACCTCTGAAGACGACTCCACACCCCGAGTCATCATCCAGCACCTCTTCGACGGCCTGGCCCTCCTCCACAAATTCCGCATGACCGACGGTCGCGTGTATTACATGAGTCGCTACACTTCCAACGGAATAACGCGCGCCGCGCAGCGAGACGGCTACGTCAAGAACTCCTGGGTGGGACCGAATCCCAACACACCTCTTTTCGAAGCCCAGGATCCGTGTTCGAAATTACTTGGAGCGCGTGTAAGTCTGATCATCTTCTCCTCCAGTCATGGCTATTCACAAGAAGCGATGGGAAGACTGACGGTTTTCGGATGGACGTAGCAAACCGTTTTCCTGCCTCATGATTCCATCGAACCAGATGCTCTTAATGTTCATGTTCAGCCGAGACGTGGTATGCATCTACCGGAGGATAAGAATCCGAATTCGAGGGGTGTCAAGGCGGAAGATCCGGCTACGCAGGAGGTAAGACAAGCCCCATCTGCACTTCATGCCAAAAGAACATGGCGAAGCTCACGCTGAGATATAGATCCTCGTTCACACGGACTGGAACTGCATGCAAATCTGCGATGCAAAGACGCTCGAGCCGAAGCGCTTACTCTCTCATGCGGTCATCGATCCCGAGCTCGCTGGAACAGGGTGCTGCGCTCAACCGGTTCATGATCGCAAGCGAGGAACGACGTACAACTACTTGATCGATGCAGCGGGTATTATGTATATCTTTGCGTTGGATGTGGTGGCGAATCCGGCGCGTCTGTTATGGAAGTCGGCGCTGCCGTGTAAGCCGTGCTACACGCATGCTCTTGCTATGACAGACAAGTATGTTGTGTTCGTCAGGAACGTAAGTAGTAGTTCCAACTGGATGGAGTGGCGGTATATGGATCGAAACTAACATCCCATCAGCCTGTTATATTGGATCTCAGTGATCCGAGCAAGACCCTCGTCGAGGCGATGGTATGCGAGCACGACTCCCCCGTGTACTTTTACGTCCTGGACAAAGCCGACGGCAAGGTGTAAGTCCTCTCTCTCCCTTCGTCTCTAAACACTCCTGAACTAACACTTCCTAGCATAGCATCCTACCAAGTCCCAAACTTCTACTTCTTCCACACAGCCAACGCCTACGACTACGTCGACCCCAAAACGGGGCACACGAACGTCCATGTCGACATTGCGAGCTACAAGGCAGAACACTACCCGTACCACGAATACGCCATCTCGAACGTCATCAACCCGCTCAAACCCTACCAGACGGGCCGCCTCGTCCGCTACGAACTCTCCGCCGTCAACACGCGCGATCCCGCCGTTGTCGCCCGCGGCACCGTCAAAGCCGCTATTCCAGATATGATGGCGGAACTACCTCGCATCTCCAAAGCCGCATCCATGGACCCAAACTACCGCTTCGTCTACGGCGTATCCGGGAACGGCATTTCCGCTCCAGGCACAGATGTTCCTATCGGGCGTCTCGGTAACGGCGTCGATATGCCACATGCGTCTTTCTATGGTCACCTCTTCAAGTCTGATTGGCGGACTGGCACGTTCAAAGCGTGGGTACCGCAGAATGGCGAGAGTTGTCCTACGGAGCCGATTTTCATCCAGAGGCCGGGTGCGACGGAGGAGGATGATGGGATTGTGATTACGATTACGATTAATAAGGAGGGGACGAATAGCATTCTTGTGGGGCTTGATGGGAGGACGTTTGAGGAGGTGGCGAGGGCGGATATGCCACAGGTTTATGCGCTCGGGCCGCATGGGTCGTTTGTTGAAGGGGATTTTGGGGTTGTGAGTACTATGGGTCGTTAGTCGGGTTGCGATGGGATACGTTGTTCCGAAGAGTCGAAGCTGTGCGGATGCTACGGGATTTCATCAAAGCTGTTCGTTGTCGAGTGGTTTGGTCTCGACGACACGTGACATACACCTTCTCTGGAAATTTGGCGGTGATTCTAGATATCGGAGGTATTAGTCTGGTGGTGTTACATACATGGAGCTCGGGTTGTAGGCCTCGATCGGTACCTGAATTAAAGCAACACTATCGCACATGCCACTGTTATCTCGACGTTTGCGAAGACTGCCGCCGTCATCGCATCTGAAAACGCCATGGTACTGCTGTGGGCTGCGCATGCAAACGCCTCCATTCCTTTGACGGCCATCTCCAAATGAAATTCCACTCCTCAGATTAAAGTAACACGATCAGAATCTTATCTGTCACTTAGCCTCGTGTTGTGCAAGGATTTCTTTGTTCTCGTATCCGCCAGGGACCAAGCGAGCATTCATATCCGGGTAATTCGACAGTGTCATATAAGTCGAAAGCGTGTTTCGCTACTTCTGAAAAGGTCAGGGAGACACACTGAACTTCTCCGACGACAAATCCTTCTCTTCTGGCAGCCATGTTGCTACGCGCGATCTTCAGCCTCGCCGTGTTCGGCACGTACGTAGTTGGGCTTCACACAGGCGACGTACTCCGGCGGCAAACAGACTGCGACGAGCTCGGAAACTATCCTCCGTACACCGGGCCATGTGAAGTCGAAAGTAAGTGCATATATGAGTCTCCGGCTTTCCGACGTTGAAGGTGCGCGACGCGCTGACTGCAAGCTAGACTGCGGCGCAGGGCGACTCAACTGCTTGAAGCAAGTACCGCCATACACCAAATGCGCTGGTTATCCGACCGTGGGTGAGTATGCGTTTCTACGATGGTGTCCAAGTAGTTGACGAAGAAGTAGGTTGTCCTTTCATAGGATGCGCGTGTACAAGGTAGGAAGGCTGGGGATGACATCACCAAAAACGGGGTTAGGCTAGAAGTGGCTTAGTGCCAGGGTTCCTTCTTTCGTCCATCCTTCGCAGGGGCGCGTCTTCTCTCTCTGTCTTTCGCGCTCGACTCTGAGGGGTCTCTGCCAAAAGGCGGGACCTGACTCGCAAAAGCAGACCGCCATCTGAAAACTTGCTTCGTATCGATGGGCGAATATATTGCTGACACGATCTGAATATGTACGACCAATCACTGAACGAGCGCAAGCTGAACCCCTCTTCCCCGCTGGGTACCATTGTTCTCAAAATGCTGCTTGAATGAAAGATAACAACATCGCATAATCTCGTCCTCTTTCTTATCATTTCACCTATTTACAGGCCAGAAACATCATCCCCATACGAACAGTCCACCAACGAGCTAGCCTATTCGCTTGCGCTATCGAGTCCACCATGGCAACGAAAACCCCGTTTGTCCGAACGTATAATACATCAGCCGATTACAATGACGGACTCCACGTGGTATGCGTCACAGCATCGATTCATTCGTCACTGTCATCCTGACGAAAGCCACAGTTCCTGGAAACTATCGACCCAGGTCTTGACTGGGAGCCAGCGCGCACCATAGGCTTACGTCTCTGGTACAAAGCCTACGTTGATCTAACACCCGAAACATGCTACGTGCTAGATGACGGCAACGGACGTGTGGTGGGTTATTGTATTGGCGCCGCTGATACAACGTCTTTCGCGCAGCGCTGGCGCGACGTGTTCACTCCAACTATCGACCCGAAACTTGTACCACATCCGGATGTCCAGACCAATGATTCGCGGATGGAAAGAGAAGACGCTAGGCACTTTCGAAAGGCTGTGTATGAAGCGGACTGTAGTATGCTGCTGCCTTGGCCGCAGGTGTTGGAGCAATATTCGGCGCATCTACATATCGATATTCTGCCTGAGTATCAGCGGAAGGGGTGGGGTTCTATGCTCATACAGCATTTCCTGGGTGCAGTTAAAACTTTGGGTGCGAAGGGGGCCCATCTTGACATGGTGCAGTCAAATACGAGCGCAAGAGCTTTCTACGAGAAAGTGGGATTTCAGGTTTGTCCGCATGTACTAGATGATGGAGCGAGTGGCCAGCCTGGTGTCAACGGCATCGTGGTCACATTGGTCATCAGTCTGTGAGCACTCCAAGTATCGTCAACTTTGTTACCTATCCTATTGTTCTTTGCATCAGATTGAACTTCGTCGCATGAAAGATCTGTGGGCTGTTTTACAGCTGTCTACAACGTGGCCGTAAAGTCACCGTCATATCGAACTACACATACCTGGCGTAGTCTTTCTTGCGCCTGTTACTCGCACTAACCCTTCCAGCATGTTGAGAAATGTCAACGCAACACTTACGCAATGGTACTACTTAACGTTTCCGGAAATCTTGCGGAGACAATAGTCATCTCTGACGAAGAGCTTCTCCCACGCTGGAAGTTGAGTCAGTATAATTCAGCGCAGCCATGCAGACAAAATGTGTTCAGATGCCAACGGATCTGCTGTTGTCAGCCACTGTGACAGGCTTTTGCGATCCAGATATATAAACCCCTCCTCCATTCCTTACATCCGGAACCAAAAGGCAGACACCGATATCGCAAAACTAAGAGACCGCCCGCAATGCCTCACGCAACCCAACATCCAGCTCTTGCGCTCGCCACCTCTCCCACGAAAACATCGGTTACGCCGAATGGTAAAGTTCGATCTGATAGCTTTATGAGCGTTCACGAAAGGAAGGACCTGCAGCAAGCACATGCACTGAACCCACTCGACCCTTTTGAAGTTGACGGTACACCCGTGAACGAGTGTTCAACTGCAGCACCATCCGAATATGACCTCGAAGAGCTGAGATCAACCCTCACTGAAGCCAGGAAAACCATGTATGCTGCTATGAAGAGATACAGCGACCTACACTGGATCGGCGAGCTTATTTACGAGCTCCCAAGTTCACCTCAGGTCTATGCCGTCTCGGAAACACCAGTCGAGGAATTAGATCACCCATCACAGGAGACTCTGGCGAAAGCGCCACGTCCCCCTCCTCCGAAACCAGAGCCTCTCTCTCGCGATGACTTCATCACACTCCTGGAGGACGAAGGCCTAACCTGGCTTCTCGAGCACTTAGACACACTACCCGTTCTGGATGACTATGCAGTCGTAGCCACCGAGGACCCCAAAAGTAAGCGCTGCAGAGTTGGTAAGCCCATCGGTAAGATTCTGAAAAGGGAACAGACTGACGATCTTAAGAGGAGGCTGTGCTGTTTGCATGCGACCAAAGGTGGCTTTGAACAGCAAATGAAAATCAGCAAGGGGGAAAACCCATGGAAGTGTTGGCCACCAAATGCCGATGAGGACACGGAAGTGGTTACGAAGTAAGACATGTATGAACTCCATTCTGTCGTATTACAGATGATAATCATGTGGCTCAAAGGGTTCTTAGATAATCTTTACTATCATCAGTCCATCTCTAAGCCCCACGTATGTCCTATCAATATGACGTACGCCGGCATCCATATCTGTACATTTCATAGTTCCACGTTGAGTAGTATTCGTATCGTAAGATTTGCATTCTAACCCCAAATCTTAGCACGTACATGCGTACTCAGGTAAGATATAACACAGATACTTATTCCCAATAGTTACAGTCCTCCCACTCCTCCTCCCTCTATGCCCGCTCCAACAAACAAATGAAATCCCACATGTAAACTTCGTATCCATCCTGCGTATCAGCACCCCCAGAAAGGCCCGTCGTGAAAAGCGGTGAATACCATTTCATCTCCGCAGCATCCCTTGGCGCACGAGGCCTATCCTCAAAGACATCGTTGTTCAACTCGGCAACTGGCTCGCCAACTGCGTCTGTAGCTTGGTTAGCATTGTCGTGATAGGGAATCGTCGCGCGTCTAGGTCTAGAGTCGGTGGTAGTTGAGGTTGCGGAGGCCGATGAAGACGCATTGTCGGGTGTCATTTCGGTGTTGGTACCGGACGTTTGGCTACCACTCGATGGTGAGTCGGGGCTTGGGTTACGTTCGTTGCGTCTATTTGGTTGGCGACGGTAGGCTTTCTTTCGTCTAGGCATCTTAGAGTCGTTTAATTTGTCGCTGGTGCTGTGCAGATGTGTTTCCTAGTCGGTTGATCGTGTGCTCGAAGACCAGTTCGAGTGATGTGATGGATGGTAAGATCGTTACAAGAGCAGACACGTCAATTATTATATAGCAACCTGAAATATGTCTCAGACAAAAATCTCACCAAGACAATTCGTACATAAATCATTGAATGAGACAGGTATCTCGTCCAAAACGACCGATTGCATACCGAGAAACAATCCAAATCCTCTAGGGACAGACTGAGTCCTGGTATCTCCGCCCTCCAGAAGCCCTACCACTCATCCCAAAAGCCTACCCATTGTATCCTCATCCATCTAGACCTATCGTGCATCACCAACCCCCCTCCTCCGATGCGCATGCCTGACCACAACACTCACACCCCTCCTCCTCATCTCATTCGCTACAATCTCCGCTGTCGCAACGCTTCGATGCGTACCCGCATGGCATGGTAGTGGCGCCTAGTTAAGGGGAACCCTAAGAGATAAATTAACACTTATTTAATAGTGTTTTAATTAATAACTAATACTATACTATTACTAATATTTTTTTACTTATTTTTAGCGTAATATACACTATTTACTTATTTTTATACTTATACTAGACTTAGGTATATTAATATAGTACTTTAGCTATCTAAGCTTTATTTCTTTCTTTAAATAGCTTCTTTATAAAGTTTATATTTTTTTTACTTATAATTTTTTTTATACTTATTTTATATTAGAAGTTATTAAAAGCTAGTAGCTACTACTTAATAATCTTTTTTAATACTTTATTTTTATAGTTACTCTAGTTAAAATAAAAAACTTATAAAAAAATAAGCTAGCTAGTTTCTAAAATAATATAAGCTTTTTTAATATTAACTTAAGCTATAACTATATTATTAATAATTTTTAGTTTAATACTAGTAATATTAGTACTAAATATAAATATAAAGTTACTACTAATATTATAGCTATAAATTTTTTTAATTTTATTTTATAACTATAAAAATAGTATCTTATTATTAAAGAGAAAAGTAGAAGTAAGTAATAAGTTAAAGTTATTAAGAAGTTAATTTAGAAAAATTACTTAGTAGTTATTAAAGCATATTAATATAATCTATTTAGTTAGTAATATATAGTAAATAAAAAAAAGTACTTACTAATATAGTAAGTAAAGTAAGTATTAAAAAATAAAAAAATATTTTTAAAACTTTTATTTATTATACTTAGTATACGTACTTAAGTATTTTAGTACTAAGAACTTTCTATAAAAGTTTTAATAGATATCTATAAATAAGTATTATATTAATAAATTATAGTACTAAAGTAATTTTTAGTAAAAAATTAAAAATATTAAAATATTAGCTAAAGCTTAGCGCGCTAAGCTTTATATTATTTACTATTTAATTGCAAGTAGGCTATAGAGACTCTACACCTTATACTTATCTTTATATACTTATATACTGTTGCTTGCAACACTAGATTAATAAATACAATTACGTACCCGCATAGCATGTAGTCTGTATTGATGCGATCTGGTTTCCAGCGTTGAGATGATTCGCTATAGCGGTGATGGCTTTGTTACTATAGTGTCTCAGATCAGCCAGCCGTCTGCTACCTAGGAACCTGAGTTGTTCCAAACAGTATGGTAATGGAGAATATAGAAGGACGAAGGGTGAATAACTCACATCTCCCCTATCGCCGTCCGACTGCCCAGTATGAACTGTTGCACTTGCGGGCTTACGCCAGTGTATCTTTCACATATCTCGCGGGGTGGGGCACGCCATTTGTGGCAGTATATTGTGAGGAGGACTGGGACGCCGGCGGGTGTGTGTTGGAGGAGTTGTGCTTCGGCGTTTGGGTGATGTTTGAGGACTTCGGTCGAGTAGGAGAGGATGTAGAGGGTTTTCTGAACTGGTAAGGGGGGAGGTGGTATGAAGGGCTGGGGATGCAGGAGAGCGGGTGGAGGTGGGAGGATCACTGGCTGCTGGAAGTGCTGTTGCGGTGGTAATAGAGGTGGTAGCGGTGCAAGTAGAGGTGCAAGTAGAGGGATTGGTTGTAGTGGCATTGGTATTGGCATTTGCATCTGCGGGATCGCTTGCACGAAGGGCTGAAGAGGGAACATCTGCATGTGTGGATATATTGGAAACATAGCTGATGATGTCTGTACTAGAGAAACGTAGTATGGTACGCTGGTTAAGAAGTCTACTTCGCGTATACAGCCATCCTGTGAAGACGTCGCAGTGCTGGTGAAGCGCGTCAGTGACCATCAGTGGCCTTCAATCAGAAAGGCTATGTCTGGTACTTTACGTCTCTTCGTGAAGTCATCAGTGTGAATGGTACAACCAGCAACTTGTGCATGATGGATGTGCAAGTTCTCATCACGCACTGTCGGACTCTCTGTCTCCGCATTGCGGACAAAGAATGTCCGTATGTCAGCATGTCAGCATGTAAGCATTACAGTTTCGGTTTACTCTTCCCGTGTACCAAATCAGAGCACTAGCACAACCGTCACACCGGATCTCCAGAAGACCAGCTGACCGCTACCCCTTCCATACGTCACCTTCTCAAACAGCTACGCCACATCAACCCCAACGCTATCCACATCATGACCTCAGAGTTGAGTCTGTAACCCAGGATCGCGATAGTCGCCGTCTCGTCACGACGTCCAAGTATCAGCTTCCCCATGCAGTAAGTTCTGCATACAGATAGGGCTGCATAGTACCACACGTGGCGCCAAAAAGTCCCGACCGACTCCACGCCAACCTTCCAGCCTGCTTCTACACCCATCCTTCGAAGCAGGTAACCGACCTTCCTTGATCCTCCGCATGATCCTCCGCTTGCAAGCTTCCAGCGGCACAGTATCAAACGAGCCTATCGCTTCACGCATGCAAGGAGTCGCTCAAAACTTGGCAACGTCCGCGAAGGCGGGTCAAGAACCTTGGAAAGAAGCCTAGCTACCGTGCCGCAAAGATCCTACCTGCACGCCCCAGCCGTGCATTGAACAAACTGGGCAGCATCTGGGCGGCTATCACGCCAATGAAACACGTCAAACGGCATTCGTGGGAATAATAGAAGGAAGAATAGGGTGATGGGTAAGCGAATTGTGGGAGGCTGGTGTGGTTGCGCTGCGGCTGAGATTACCGCTTTGGGACTGCGGCGTAGTCGATGTGATACCGAGTTGCTGGGTCACCTTTGGAACCTTCCTAGGAAGGATCGTGAATCTCGTATCGAACTTCAATGAATCCTTCCTCGGTGGCTACCGAAATGAGAAAGTGAAATTGCATTCTAGAAGCGAGGGAAATCGTTCGATCATCGTTCTGGGAGCGGAGAGGGCGGCTATGATGAAGTTACGACATGGACCATGGTGTTGTGCGTGCGCAAATCTGGATTGGGCGTCTCGGATCGAAGCGAGCAACGCCAATCATGACATATGCGCTTTTTCGATTTCCTTGCATTTGTTCCTTGCCTTGCCCTATCTAGATTATGTGAGTTCAACGAAACATGTTACAACCACAGACTCGGTACCTATGCATCTTCTGTCGCACAAATTACTCCTTCTGAGTTGATTCATCAACCCAAGACTGAGGTTGTTACATGATTCACAACTTTCCTTCACCTCCTCCTTGGAGCACATCGCGTACGAGCTTGAGGCCTTGCACGGCAAAGGCCACCATGTTGGCTTCGCGCTCGCTGCTCCCCGTCTCCGCTTCTCGAGTCACTGTCTCCCCGCCCTCCCGTGCCACGGCAAGCGCTACGTAGCCTGGTGTGCGGTTACGAGTCGTTCCCCCTGTCGGCCCTGCGGTTCCGCTCTCGCTGATGGTATACGTGCTTCCCAGTGTCTTACGCGTGTGCTCGGCGAGGCCAGAGACGATGGCAGGGGTTGGACCGCTGTAGGATTTGATGGTTTCCTGTGTCCAGCCGCAGTATGCGATTCGTGACTCGAGTGTGTACAGGGTAAGACCGCCGCGATAGTAGGTCGATGCGCCGGGGAAGGAGAGGAGTGCTGCGGAGATGAGACCGCCTGCTGCCTGGTTGGAGTGGTTAGTAGGTGGCTTTGAGTTGGACTGGGGGGTCTTACTGTCTCTGCTACCGAGATGGTCTCTTTGCGCTCTTTGAGGAGTGTGGCTACCTCTTGGACGATTTGCTGGAGCTCTTCGGGCGGGAATATGGGTGGTGACATTTTGAGGTATGCTGTATTGGGTGGTTACGCTTATTCTCAGATATGAAGTCCAAAGCTTCAATTGTGTACAAACGTTCTTGTGTTAGTAATTATACCGGAGTTATGGCGGATGTAGTCGCTGTCGGTGGGGTAACTCGAAGTTGTGACGTATGCGGGGTAGCTTCCATTACACCTCCAACCGTATAGATAGTATACCGAAATATTGTACATACAAAGCCAGACACAATTTACTTTAGACATCGAAAGCGAACCTCTCTTCTCCCCTCTTCATCAATCTGATTGGTATCGAGACACCCCTCAACTGCAGCGTGATGATACTCGCCATCTTGGTCTGGATCAGGTCCTGGGCTCTATCCGTAGCCATCTTGTATAGATCTCTTCTCTTCTTGCCTCCCTTTGGCATCTTCTCCATCTCTTCATCACAAGCAAAGTCATCGACTGCGAGCTCAACGCTGTACTGAGAGAAGATCGCGGCCAATACCGCGAGAATCTCCACTTGAGCAAAGCGTCGACCAATGCATGATCGGAAGCCGTCACTAAAGGGGATGTATGATCCTTTGACGGGCTTGAAGAGTTCAGATGAAGTGTCTTCGCCTGCTGGTCCACGTAGCCCTTCATCGTCATAGTTGATGTCGACGAAATCGTTATCGGGTTTGCTATCCATGAGCCAGCGTTCAGGTCTGAATTGGTCTAGGTCGTCCTTGCTTGAGACATCAGATGGTGTTGGCCAATACTTTGGGTTGCGATGTATGGCTGCGCTGAGGAATACGTGAGCGTCGCCGGGCACCATATACTGCTTTCCCCCGATATTCAATGGCTGTGGTCGACCTGGTGGAGTAGACTTCGGGATGTTGATGATTGGTTGCAGCAGCCGTAAAGTTTCGTTCATGACTGCCGCTGGCATGCTTCCGAATAGCTTCTGAAAGTGCTCTTCATACTTCCAGTCGTCGATGGGCTTGCCCGCAAATATGTTGTCGATGTCGTCTTGCAGCCGCTTCTGAGAGCCCCAGTTCATGGCGAGGAATACCATGGAAAAATGTAGTGTGTTGGCAGTTGTTTCGTGGCCCGCCAACATAAGCACAAATGCGTTACCCAGCAGGTCGCTCTTCGTGAAATTTGAACCCTCTTTCTTGGTGATGCCGCTTCCGCGGATCAGAGAGTCAAATATGTCCATGTTTGCTTGAGTCTCGCCAAACTCGACTTGGGTCTTCTTCATTTCATAGATCTCATCCATGTACTTACCCCATTCGTGGGCCGCATCGCTGACTTCACGATGCATTTTGACCGGAGATCGTGCTACGAGAAATTGTTAGATGACGTGTACAACTCGACGCGGTGAAGTAGTAGTAAGAGGGAACCTACCAAGCCACTTAAGTGGCATGACTTGAGTCCACATGATGTTGTGGAGCAGCTGGCTTAGAGCGGCCCTGTAGCTCATGGTGTAGCCAGGAGGGGCTTCCGATCCTACAAAGATAGAGTCTTCGCTCTTTTTGTCCTCCACTTTCTTGCCCTCTTCGTGTGGCCATACTACGCGTACGTCGAAACCCGCTCCACTGATAACATAGAGAGCAAAGTTCATTGCCGCAACGGAAGGATCGGCAATAGTCTCATTGCCTTTACCCTCGGATCCGGCCCACAATCCCAGCATCGACTTTGCGTGATGGAGAGTCTCATTGAACACAAGCTGATTGTTCTTGTCACCGAAACTTGGTGCGACAAGTTTGCGATGTGTGCGCCAATCTGATCCTTCAGTACTCACCAGATTCTTGCCGTAAATGTCCAATGACGTGTACATCTCAAGGGGCTTGGGAAAGTCATTGCGGCGGGTGGTAATCTGAGTCACGGCTTCCGCGTCTGCAACAAAGACTACATTTCTGGTAGGAGATGCGACCATGAAGACGTCCATACCCATCTTCTCGAAAGGCCCATGTCCGGTCATGTAACTCCATTCTGGATTCAGAAGACTGCAATATCTAATTAATACCTCGCCTGATGTCAAGTCGAATTTACGTACTCAAACCACATGCCTCGCCATGATTGTGGCAGAAATCTCTCCAGTAACGGCAACCATAGCTTGAACGTCGACAGCCATAGGATGCTGAACGTATACCATGGCGCTACCACTACAGGTAGTCCCGAGCTCTTTGCTAGCGCGATATTGCGTTGCAGGCCCCGATACTTGGAGATTATCTGATAGATGGCAAAGCTCGCAATGACGCTAAAAACCAGGGTGGCAACCATGACGTTGTTTCGTCGGGAGGACTCCAAGCTCAAAGTGAGGCTATCGACACAAGAAATTGAGATCCGCACGGTCTCGCACTATCGAAGGCGCTGTCGTGAGGACGGTGAAGATGGTGCAGTGGATGGGTATTCGCCTTCCAGCGCGCAGAGGGGTTTGTGACGTATACATACGCGCGATCAATTTTGCCTCACAAGCGTTTCAGGGCCTCGGCTAGGGAGGATCGCTAGCAGATGCATCTCGCGTATGCGTGCTATATGCAACAACTGGCGGTACATCGAGGAATACGGATGAAGCCATCGTCTGATAGGCTGCGCTCACAAAATCGCTGCTCGTGTGGTGTTGCAATGCCATAGAGGTCTGCGTCATCAGTCATCGCTTCCGAAACGGGCTTGGCGCCTTCGAATCGACGTGTTTCCCATGAGTGCCAGTTGTGTGACGCTTGCGCTCACCACGCATCTGCGAAACACAAAACATGAACGTCTGATCTAATCGTACCACCAGGTAATGGGGACCGCTGGGAGGTGCGCGCTCGGCTGCAAACTCTGCGGTTCGTACGACGTCGTAGGACATGGCTCCGAGGAGCAGCGTCCAGGCAATACTCGCGCGCACCGCCTGGTGGACAGCGAGCAGACGAAGGTTCGCGTATAGCGTATATCGTCACTTGCGACGTCACAGGAATCCTTCCGTCATTGTTGACTGCAATTGTGTCAGCGCGTGCACTTGGATCTTCAGACGACAAAGCGAATGCGTTCGTTCCATGGATACGACTCACGGTTCACCGTGTCGCGCCGCTTTGCCGATTCACCAGCCCCCTCTGCATGTTGTTATGCCACATGCGGCAGGCAGGAGGACAAGGGCTACTACATCACTTGCCGTCTAGGGAGTTTGAATTTCTAGAAGCGTTGTTGCTCCGATCGATGGCAAGGCTTGGTATGCCGTGTCGCAGAGTGAAGCGACTACACCGACTCGACGGCAACTTCTCGACACGAGATTGACTCGCTTCTGCGCCGTCTTTTGGAGAAGTAGTCCAAGGGACACCCCGTTTTTCTACTGGACGCCTCATGCGTTCCACGTGGTAGAGCGACAGCCGCCAGGATGCTGTAAGCCAGGGTGTTCCCACGAGGGTCGCAGGCCGGCCTGGCTTAGACAATCTCGGTTGTGGGGTGTCGTCAATCGGACAGGTCCTCTCACGCATCAATCATCTAGTCTGAAGCAGACCGCAACTTGCCATAGCGCCGGTGAGCAGCAGGGCCGGGCAGAGTCGGCTCGTCATCTGACAAACTGGCTCACTGGCTATCTCTGTTCGGAGCTTAGCAGCAAAGGCACTGCTGTTTTGGATTGATGTCGCCGGGCAGCTGACCGTTTGTTTGCGGCAGGCCCTTCACGGCCGAGTAACCAGGTTACCTGAGCTTGGCCGCGTTGCAAGGGTGTCGAGGGCACTGCGGCGTGCACAGTACCGACCTACTCCAAGTGCACAATGGAGGGGTCTAGCAAATGTTCCTGACGCCATACTGGCGGTCGCGTGTTGCGGCGCGCTAGTTATTACCACTGACTTTGGAGCTCATGAAACTAACGTCAATAGAATTGGCCGGCGCCTCTCCGGCACCTGCCATGAGCAGCAGCCGCGATTTCCCTAGCAGACGAGGCGGACAAAAGGGTGATGCAGTTGTACACACACTACCTCGCCATGTGCCACCAGACTGCCTATAGGCGTCTCGCCAGGATCTGCAGCCCGGAAACGCAATGCTGATCTTTGGGCAGCAGAGTCGCAAGTGACAGGTCCTGTTCGCGGAGACTCGGCGCATGAATCGCTGCAACACCAGGGCGAGCGCGAAGCTTCAGGTAAGCAGAGGGCTGCGGGCGCAGGAAGAGGCGTGGCGGCGTCGCGAGATATCGTCTGCAGCCACCAGCAGCGCATCACTTCCATCAACCTTCTCGAATGCCTCGGTGCCGCTGCAAAGTGGAGGCTGGCCGACTAGGGATCGTGACTAGCTGGCCTCAGAGCTCGGATCAGTTTCCTGAGTCTTCAGGGCCAGCAATTGGGCGGAAATTATCCGACTACAGCTGCTGACGGCCGGCACGATGGTTGTTGCAGGGCGGAGGACCGCGCATCGCCGCACGAGGCAGCGAGCACTGTGACTGTCACATAGCCGGCGCTGGTGTTGCAGCAGCAGCAAGTCATCATTGCAAGTAGACGTGTCGCCAACGGCTGCAGACGGCGGCCAAGTAGCAGCACTGGATGCGCGGTCGCGTCGGGCGGGAGCAACGTTTGCTGTCTGCAACGGCATCATCCTATGGCACATGACGGGCTCTGGCAGCGCGCGCTGTTTGATACAACGGTCCCCATGTCGTCCTTGACGATGGCCACACAGCGCGTCTGGTGGCTCCGCGCTGCTACCCTGGTCTCGTAGCTTGGTCAATGGCACAAGCGACCTGTGTGCTGCACATCCTTCGCTTTCGCGCTAATACGCCGCCTTTGCATCCTCGTCCATCTCTCCAGGCTTCGGCATGGTGTTCTCCCCTCCCGACACGCCCATCGCCCACCACAACCCCAACCGTCACCACGGCTAACTCGCACTGCTGCCCACCACCACCGCCAGTGTGCCTGACCCAGCGCTGACCCGCCTCCCGCCCCCCGTCGCGTCTCGCTTTGAGCTGTTCCTTTTTGCGACTGATTTAGTTTCGCGCCTCTTGTGATTGCGCCCTGGCCCCTTCGTTCGCACGGCCCGGTCTTAATAGCGCCACTTTTCGCCGACCA